ACACAAGAGAGAAGCACTTGCCCCCAGGTGTACTACACTGCGGCGGGAGGAGCAATGGTTGCTTCGCCGCAGCCGCAGTACCACGGGATAGGCATGACGGTCAGCGGCATGGGCGATGTGAGAACCGGACAGGACGGGAAAGTGGCCATGACAATGTCTCCAAAAGTGTCACAGAGTTCAAATTCGGCCTGAGGATGTGCTGACGAGGTAAACGGTATCAAAACCATCGGGCTATATATATATATACATATATATAATGTAATATAGATGAATTCGGTGTCTGATGAATAATTGAATAGTTCGGTAATTTGATGATGCCATGTGAATCAGCGAAAATGTTTTTGATTCTGCAACTTCTATGATTTCTGTTAATTATGATCTGCCATCTCCCCTATTCACGAAGCTTTTAGTGCTCTTTATTTTTTATTTGGAATATATACATCGAATGTTTTGATATTTCAATTGGGCTTGTTCATATTGCTCTATGGAATCGGCCGGTCATAGCCAATGGATCCTAATGTGAAAAGAGACGGACAAATCATTAGAAACCGGTCGTCATAATAAATCACGATGTCGGGGTTTTTTTTTTTTGGGTGTTTTGTCTTTTGGCATAAAATCATTGTGGATTGGCCGACAAGTGCGTGTTTGTGTGAAAGATAAATAAGCACACCCCATTCCCATTCATTCATTCAGTGAAACATTCTTGTATTTTCATTTTCTTCACATCCATTATTACTCATAATACTTATACTCAAGAGAGAGAAGAGAGAGGACACCCACATTTCAAATTTCGATTCTAATTCAATTCATTTCTTTTAAAAGATTATAACCATTTGACTTTTATATTAATTTTTTTACAATTCAATTCGAATTCGATTTTTTATTGATAAAAAATTTATTTTTCCAAAAAAAAATATCAGTTTTTCAATTATTTTTTTCATTCGATTTGATTTTGATTCAAGTTCAATTTTTTTGGGTTCATATAGGTTATAACTGTTCAGTTTTTTATGTCAATTACATTTATACTTTATTCGATTTAGATTTATTCTGTTAATAACCAAAATGAACAACCCCACACTAACCAATCTTCTATTATATATGAAATCATCTAATCCAAAACACGAGAGATCGATCCAAGCAAACAAAGAAACCTAATATTCAAAAGCAAACTCAGCACTCAGGCGTATTTTAACAATTATATGCATAATATGGTTCGAGGTGATCAGGTGAGAAGGAAATTTCTCTCCTTACCAAATGTGGAAACTTCACCTATATATAGTTAGTTCTTCACCGGAAATGGGACGGGACAGGAGAAGGAAAACAGAGAAATTTGCCACAAGATCCTGTCTTTCAGAGCAGCCATTGTTAACAATGCAAGATCGATGGTAAAGTCCTTACCTTTTTGACATGTCTTCTTGGCTTTACTCCTCTCAAGCGTTCTTGAACTCCAGGAACAGGTCACTGATGGATGATTCACAGGCTGACTGACCATCCGGCCCCAATTTCTTGAGGAATGACTTTGTGAGCTTCAACTTCGATACCGTCTGAAAGATTCTGTGGCAGCATTTACGCACCAGAGATCTCCTCGCTTGCTTCTCTGGCATCTTTAACACAAGCACTTTCATCAACTGACTCAATTTCTGCAGATGGGTTTTCATTGCTTTGCTCGATGCTTCTTCGTTTGTTTGTTGTTCATCTCGTGATTTTAATGGAGCCAGTGACCTCATTGTTTCAGCGACCAGATCAAGCGCTTCAATCCTGCGGAATTCCATCTTTGCATTTTGGCATTTGTCCAGTAGGAATCCAAAAAGACGGTGTCCAATCCATGGCCGCCTCCTAAAAACTTCCTCCAGAAATTCTACCTTGATGTGAGATTTCTTGGTATCAAAGTACCCAACAAGTGCACTCTGAAAGACATCCAGAATCTCCTGAAGCTCACTTTCTGAGAATTTTCTTGCATCGATTATCTTTAGAATCCAGTAAGTTGAGTTCTGGGCGAGGTTAGAGACCATCTTGTACCGGTTCCAAGCAGCTGACTGCTTCTTCTTTGGCGGGTTAGTACCGAACTTTTTTCTCTTGAACGGTTTAGCAGCCAGCTTCAGATTCTTCTCCAACAAAGAAACAAGAGTGGATAACTGGATGGATTCATCCTTGGGAAATTCTTTTGCTTTTAATATTCTCTTCTGGACAATGCTCCATATACGCTGCACGAGTTGCTCGCTGCTTTCTGAAGTGTTCGGGTTGACAAGAGCCTGAGCTAAGTTTGAGTAAACTGTCAGAACTTGAGGATGACCTGAGGAATATTACCAAAACCCACAAGAAGAAAATCAATATTCATATTGCTTGCCTGTCTCATCAGCATCATAGCTAACTAACATCAAATCAAAATGTCAGCTATTACAAAACACAAGAGAGAAGCACTTGCCCGGATTTTCATGGAGGTAAATTTCGAGTAGTGAGAGGACGCGGAGTTTAAAGAGAACAAGCTGCGACTGAGCAGTTTCACCGCCAGCCTGATTCTTTTTCTCCCTGAATATCTGAGCCAGATAAGTGTCCATGCGGAACATCGCATCATCATCCATCCCTTCATCAGACTCAGAGTCATCCGAATTTTCATTGAATCCTTTGTCAGCATTTTGGATGCCAATTACTGCTTCAGAATCATCCATCTGCTCATCACTCTCACCCGTCTCACCTGTTTCAGCCTCATCGATATCCTCATTCTCTTCCTCTTCAATAGCCAGACAATCTTCGCCATCATCATCATCAAGATCGGATTCCGGGTCTTGATGTCTAGCTGGTTTTAGATCTTTCTTGATTACTCGTAACATTCTCAGCAGTCCATTGTTAGTCACATCATGACAAAAGCATTTGAAAACCTAAAATAAACAAGATAACTCTGGTTAAATCATGAGTTTTAGCCCAGTGGGATGAATAAACCAAAATTCATGATAGCAAATGAGTGTCAACATATGAGATTCTCATTCATATTCCAAACAAATAAAACCAAGAACAAAATTTCCCTTCACCAAACAGTGCTTCTATTACCAAATTAAAGTATGAAACACAATACACAAAACCAGATTATGCAAAAAAAAAATAACAATTAGAAAATCTGAAGTAAGAGCCTGTTTGCGTTATGAACCATAAAGCTCGCATAAAGAAGGGAAAATAAAAGGCAAGTCTTGCGAGTGTTTAGCTCACCTCCTCAATGGCAGATCGCATTGGAGCTGAAGTCTGTGGCAACAATGTAAGTAACGTGTCCACAAGGACATCAATTACCTCTGGTGCTTCATCATCAGCCTCACCCTCTCCAAAACCCTTAAGAAGATCATCGAAAGCTTTGTCACAGCATATTGCAAGTTCATATGCAGCTTCTGAGAATTCTCCTGGATGGAGGAGTACTTGAAGCAGTAACTGAACGGCTAAGAGCTTCATTGCATGTGACTTCCTTGCATCATCAAATAATCCATAATATCTTTCCTGCCAATAGGTGGAAAAAATAGAAAAGGGGGTTCAAATATGTCACAGTAGTTAGGCATAAAATTACATTTCAGTGAACAAAATCAATTGGAAGGCTTAGAGCTTATTCTCTTCCTGGAATACCCCTAGGAAACAATAAGATGTAAAACAATAACGTTCGTTTTAGCAATGGTAAGTGTTTACAGGGAGAAAATTAAAGCTGTATCAAAAAAGAATTTATGCCGTGCAAGATGTGAATGCTGGGAAAAGACAGGTTGCAGACAAAACAATACCATCAATTACCTCTCTCGACAATTTGCGTTCTGTTTCTTGCAAGTCTCTGACGGCCTTCTCATCTGCTTCATTCAAGGAGCAGAAGAGAGAAATAGAGGGAATATTCTGCAAAGTGCTAAGGAATTTCATGAAATACGAAGCCAAACCATCAAGCTCGCGGACGATATCTTTAGGCAGAGAATCCACAGACTTTTGAGAATGTGAGAGTAACAGTTGCAGCTGCTCAATACACATTTTGCAAAGTGCAGTAGAAGTAGCTGTTTTGGGCCATTTGAATTTCTCCTGCAACTCAAATGATGTAACTTCAGTGCCAAGTGAAGCCCGAAATAGACCTTGAACAACTAGAAATTTCAGAATATGCTGTTTCAATCTGTATGTTGATATAGGACCCATATCAGCATCCTTTAAAATGCGGAGGAGAGATTGTATCACCCAGCTTTTCAGAAGATCCGAATTTTCCGCTGTTCCAACAGATTCCTCCTCTTTTGAATCAATCTCTGAGTTGTCATCTGTTGTTTGACTCTGATCTGAATTTAAGGAGCAAGGTTCTAGTGCCCATTCCATGTCTGAGGGTTCCTCTGGAACATGTTTTTCGTCCACAAACAAGTCCATCAAGTTCTGAAGAAAAAATCTGCAACCATCCTCGGTTTCAAACTCTGAAGTTAAATCTTTGATGGTTTTTGTACGTGTAATAATATCGAATTTTCCAAGGCTGTGTCTCTGAAAAGCCATTGTTACAGCGGCTCTTCTAGCATCATAATAATCATCATCATTTCTCAACCAATCCAACAACTCCTTGATAAAATATTGTGCAACTTTATGCATCCAAGAGTCCTTTGTAGAAAGTATATCCATGAGACACTGGACAAATTTGTATGATAAAACAGATGGGACAAAACTTGCTCGAAGCTTTGGAAGAAGGAGAAGCAGGATGTCAAATGCCAAGTGCTTACGATCATGAGATGAGGAAAGAAGGGTTCCTTCAATAATGATTTCACAGAAATTCTGAATGTTCTTCGTCATTTCTTCTTCAATGGGGCTGGACTTGCCAGTTCGCTTTGCTTTTTTAGACGGTTTAGAAATGGATGTGGCATCTTCGGTGTGAACTGTTTCTGGTAATAGCCTATCAACAATAACAGGCCATAAGCTATGAACTCGAGGCTGGCAGAATGTAGATTCCTGAAAGTCCACAACAAAAACGATTTCAGACAAACTTTAATTAGTTATCACTATCTTTCCTTTGTAGAGTGCTTACTGTTTAGGATACCACCTTCAAGCAATTAGCGATTGATGAGAGATGATCTGCCGAAAAAAGATTTGCTGAGCTGAATGGAACTGGTAGAAGCTTGCCAAATACAGGGTGGTCAACTGAAATCTTCTCACGGAGTTTAAGAGCTAAAAGCAAAGCATCTGGATTTCCAACATAAGTAGCTTGCTCAAACCAATTACGAAGTTCTTGAGCTTCAGCGACATGATTCAACAATGCTTCGGCAGGCAACTACACAGTTATAAGATGACATTCCCAAAGCTAAGAAAGATGCAGAATCACAGATCACCAAAAACCAAAGAGTAAGAAAAACAGAACGCCTTGTCTTGTATTCCAATATATGGTTCTAAGCTTGGAAAAGTAGGCATGCAATGTGAAATATGTAGCCTAAGAATCCCACAAGATGTGTACATTGACAATCTATAGCTGTACTCTTGAACTGCAAGTAGCTTCAAAATATAACTTTTAATATTTTTTTAGATATATACTTGTACTTCAATTTGGAAAAAGAAATCAAATCCTTAGGTTAAATGAACCAAGAGAATAGCATAAGGAACTTGTAAAATGTCTTCATGATTCAGAAAGATGGAGTTGGCATATCAGAGAAAACCTCATTACACCTTCTCAACAATGTCAAGGAGAACATGGACAGCTGGCTCTTGCAAGTATCGCTTTTTTCCAGCAAGGGAGATAACGGCATTGGTAAACTCCTTGATGATCGGAGTGTATTTATCGTGTAGCCAATCTTTGTTCAGTCTTCCAGACCGTGCAAGTGCACCATAAGCAAACAGCCGACCAAGTAGGCATTCCTTTACATCCTGTCACCAGCAAACAAATCAGATTGTGAGCCACAACACAAGCTCATGATTCTCACGAATGGACCAAAAAATGATACACAGCTACCCACTTGGCCCTTCATGGATGAAGATACTGCCAATGCATCAACAATGAGTTTCATCAGTGATTCAGCCTTGATGCTAGAAATTGCACCAACAAGCAATGTCAAACCCAAGGCAAACCCTTGTCTGGCGCACTGGCAAAAAACACAGCAAACATGATTCTTAAATCATAAACTGTAAGAGGTCAAGTTTCTTGATCTGTAATCTGGTTTTATGCAATATCAATAAAAGCAAGCTAAGCCAGTTACCTCTCTCGAAGAGGACACGCCACGAATAAGCCTACGTAGAGTGTATCTCAAGTGTGGAGCACAATCATCCAAACCATCGTTTCTTTCAGCTTCCAACATTAACCCGTCACTTACAGAATCCTTATCCGGCAGAGTCTCGTACTGTGTCTGAATGTCTTGCAACCTTAACACCAAAGACTCCGCCGCTGTTTTTCTCACACTTATGTCGGCAGAAGCCAGTTCCCTGAAATAGTTAAGAGGCAAATCCGGCAACCCTCCAGTAGAAGAAGACGGCGAAGCAACAGATTTACCGTTTTCATCGGATTTCGAATTGAGAACCACCGCTCCTGCCTGCGGAGCTATGCCCTCTTTCTCCAGAGCGGTGCGTTTTCTCCCTTTGTCTAAGGCTTTCCTCTTCTTCTTCTTCTCCATGTCTTTGGCGTAACTCGCAACGCCGGGAGGAGCCGCCGCCTGAGAATTTGCGTCGCCGGAATCAGAACGTTCACCGGTTTTTCGCCTACCATTCTTCGGTTTCTTCTTCGCCGGCACATTTGCAAGGCTGTTGTTCTCTACTTCATCCGACGATTCGCCGCCGCTTCTCTTTTTGCCAGCCATTGAAACCAAAATCCCTGATTCTTCCTCGCCGATTAGAAAATCCGTTTCGCCGGAACCAAAGTTGCAAAATTTGAGAAAAGAAACAGAAACCCTATTCGAATGATTAACGTTGTAGGAGAAATTTGAGAATTTTGGCAGTGAAGTTGCACTCCTTCCTGCTTCTTCTAACCCCGGCCGAGGGTTTAGGGTTTAGAATCAAGTTACTTTCTTTTTAATCACCTACAAATTTTCCCCCTCTTACCCAAAAGCATCGTTTTTCTTTTACGTCCCAAATAATTTAAGTTTATAAAAAATCAAAATATGAATTTTTAAATACCCTATGCCAACCAGTAAACCGTAAATCTCATTTTAAAATGACTCCAGAAAATTATTACATGAAATTTATTTTTTATACCAATCTTTTAACTAGATAGATTCATGTGAAGGGTCCAAACCGGATTGGCACAAAGAGAAAGAACTGCCCTGGAAGCTTTTACATCCACCAATTGGGAATAGACCTTACTTACCACCTGTCTGTGGATTCATCAGAAGAACTTTGGGAAAGGTTTCGCATGGGTCATCAATGAACGAGTTCCTTTAACAACATGATAAAGCACAGCCATGGCGGTAACCGAGACGAAGAATGGGATCTGCTCCGATACATGGAAACGGAATCCGTAGAAACCCGGGTACGTGAGGGAGATCGAACCCATTTTCGCGTAAAGAAGGTAGCTGGCCAAAACGACACCAGTCAGGTAAGCCCCGGAGATTCTGTTGAAGATCGATAACATGGAATTCATCTTGAGGCTGGTAAACGGGAAGATGGGGAGACAATGGGCGAAAGCTATGCGTTTTAGGACAATGCTGCTCTTCCTCCTGTGTATCGCATTTCGTATAAAACAGGCGCCTGGTTCCAGATGATGACTCGCCCAATAGAATCTCTCGTAGTGGCGTGACCTGAGCTGCTGCTTCATTCTCAAAAGCTTTCGGACTCTAGAACGAGACAAGGATCACCATATACAAAGCATGAAACCTTAAATAGATACCATCAGAAAGACTCTGAATAGCATAAAATGTCTCACCTTTCCTCCCCAAGTGGCATCACTTGCGTTAGTGGTGCCCAAATGAATGCCGATACCGCCATTCACGACAGGCTTTGGGTTGTGTAAACGAGGAAACAACATCAGGTAAGGAAGGATCGTGTGTCTTTTCGTCCCAGAGGAAGGGAGGAAAGCAAACTGCTTGAAGCCTCTCATCAAACAGGCGCAGTTTTGAGCAATGTAAGAACTTTCAAATGATGGTTGTTCCCTCGAGGTAGCCCGCTGCAACTATGTTTCAATACAAAATGCATCCGTTAACATACATACATACATACATACATACATATATATACAATAGCAGTACTGTGTGATAAAGGAGGGAGTTTATTCTCTTCGCCATCCAACAATGCTCTCATCAGATTCAGCTACAAGCTACGGTAATTAACCAGAATTTCAAATTTCAAGAGAGAGTCTTCAGCGAAAATACAATTCCTATACCCAGTTATCTCAGTTCTATAAGGGGAAAAAAAATTACGATCTGACTCAAGCTGAGCCCAGACGGAAAATTAGACGGACATGGACTGTTGCCGATCAAATTGGCAATCTGTAGGCGGAAAGAGGAGAGGAGACGGCACCGAACGGAGAAGAGCCGCGGTGGCCATTGCTATTTGCTGAATCCGATCAAGCTTCTTTTACGTTAGGGCTGCCTGGGAAATTTTTTTATAAGAAGAAAAAAACACGAAATGGCGCTTTGATTAAATGAACCCTAGCTCCTCGATTATCGAGAAAAATTAGGGGGTATTCTCGTAATTACAGGATATATCTGCACGTTTACCCAAGCAGGAGCAGAAGAAACATTTCGGTTCGGTAATACTATTTGGTATTTTGATTTGATACGTAGAATCCAAATGCGAATTGAAATTTTACAATTCCATCGAATTCTTATTCCTTCTCTTAAACCCCTTTTTCACCACTTGGGAGAAACCAATGTAACTTGAAAAAAAAAAAAAAGAGGAACGAATCAAACCCTAACGCTCAAGGAATGTTTCAGGCTGCCGACATGAAGAACATGTTCTCCCAAAACAACTTTCCTCGTCCCGAACTCATCCACCAGACTCAGATCCTTGCAGACCTCAATCCTAAACCTCACCACTTTCTCCTCCTCCTTCCCCAATCGAACCTTCTCGAACCCTAACAGATGTTTCCTCGGCGAGCCCCTAACCGACGACTGCGGCGGCGTCGTGAACAGGAACACCGTGTGCGTCCCCTCCGCTTCTCCGGAGTTTTTCACCTTCATGTGAACCTCGAACGCCGCCGAACCACTGGCGTTCGCGTTTGGATCCGCGACTGCGTTTGAGCAGTGGGGTCCGACCGCGTCCAGCGATTGGCAGTCGGAGGATCTGCAGACGTGGGTTTGGTCGAGAGGGAGAGAGACGAGTCGTGGGGCTTTGACCAGTTGGTGGGCGAAATGGCTGAAGCTGAGTCCGTCTCCGAAGGCGTAGACGGTCTCGCCCGTGTAGAACCGGTAGGTCCGACCCGGATACCCGTTTGATGTGTCGGGTCGCATGTTCATGTTTGTCATTGGCACTTTCTCCACGTAGGATTGTGGATACCACGTCATCGGTAATCTCCCACCTACAAAACCAAAATTAACCGGTTCGGTTAACGGATATAAACTTATACCAATTCGACCCGGTATACTAAACGGGAAACCCAAATACAGAGGAAGGGACGGTTACTAGGATTGTAGCGGCCGAAGATGACGTCAGCAATGGCGGCACCACCGGCTTCGCCAGGGTAGCCGACCCATAAGATGCTGGTTACTTTATCGTCGTTCTTTGCGAAGGTAATGTCGAAGCCGCCGCCGGACATGATGACGAGAATGACGGGTCCTTTAGCGGACTTAGCCACTTGGGTCACTAGTTCTCGCTGCTGTCCGGGGAGATTCAGGTCGAGTCGGTCGCGGCTCTCGGCCTCGATTGACTGATCCGCACCCATCACAAGGACCGTCGCATCTGCCGAGCCCGCCAACTTGGCTGCTTCGTCCACCTGAGCCGTCGCACAAGCCACGTTCGAGCAGCCCGGGAGATATGTCGTCGAGACAGTGGCCGCTAAGCCTTGTAAAGGAGTTGTGTACTTGCATGGTGTGCCTGAACGAGTAGAAAACTCTGAGAAAATTATCCTAAAAACCCAACTTTTGCTGAGATATGATTCTGATACGATACCTTCATAGTTTCCGATCATGGTTTTGGTGACGTTTGCGTTGGGTCCAATCACAGCAAGCGTTTTAATCGCAGAGGGAGATAGAGGTAGCGATCCAGCCGCATTTTTTAGGAGTACAATGCCTTGTCTGGCGGCTTCTACGGCTAGTTCTTGGTGTTCGGCCGTGCAAACATCCTTCGGACCGAGCGCTCCAAACATCTGTTTCTTCGGGTCGCCGTCAAAGAATCCGAGACGCATCAGAGTCGCAAAATTGTTCGAAATGGCTCTGTTAATAGCGGTCTCATCCACTAGCCCCGCCTTTACAGCGTCCCCTGTGTGCTGAGCCAGAAACGAGCCGCAGTTCAAGTCTAGACCTGAGATCAGAATCGGGGAGAGAAACCAGAATGCTGTTGGTTTAGTGGGCCGGTTTTTGCAAACTGGAAGCCGGTTAATTCTCCGGTTTACACGGAACAAGAAAAGGAAGACTAATTTCATGATTTACCTGCCAAGATAGATTTGGCTGCAGCTTCCTCTGGAGTCTTGGTGTAATGCTGATTCTTGTACAACACATCTACTGAATCACAATCCGAGACAATGTACCTGAACCCGGAAAACTATATCGGATTTCGATGAATTCAAACGATTAAAACCGTCCAAGACAATGGTTTTATACGAACCCGTTTAATTTCCACTGGCCACGGACAACTCCGGAGAGCAGGTCGGGGTCGGCACAGGTCGGTATACCATTAACTTGGTTGTAAGAACACATAACACTTGCCACGTTTCCATCAATCACGCAGCTCTTGAACGGCGGTTGGTACGTATCATCCAAATCTTGTTTGTTCACCTAAAAACACACCCAAAGTTGAAAACTTTTCCTAAACCCATAAGCTTAAATCCCGCATTTCCCAAAAAAAAAAAAGGGTTCATATTTATATACCACGGCATTGAAACTGTAACGTTCGATTCCTTTCCAGTTATCCAAATCGTAGGCAGTATAATGTTTGCAACAAGCTGCCACTTTCAGACTATTAGGGTTTCCGCCTTCAATCTCCTGCAGACCCTTGACGTAAGCCGCTGCGTATTTGCTCGAGAGCAACGGGTCCTCGCCCGGTGTCTCTTGCCCTCTTCCCCATCTCGGGTCTCGGAAAATGTTCACGTTCGGTGACCAGTACGTCAGTCCGGCCAGACCCACGTTGTACATTGCCCTCGCCTCCGTCGACACAACCTTCATTAATAGTGCATTCCGTTACGTGCCGGACAAGAAAACCCTAAAAAGGAAACGAAAGGTCTGGTCTTTGGACGTGTTGTTGAATCGTATGTATTACCTTGCCAATGGTCTGAAACAGAGTGACGTTGAAGGAAGCAGCCGTCAGTATGACCTGAGGGAAGCTCGTGGCTCCGGGGACTTGGCCGGAGAATCGAGTTCCCGGTCCGACGTACGACACGCCGTGAAGGGCTTCCGACCACCACTCGTATGTCGGAATACCGAGACGGCTCACTCCATTGGCTCTGTTGACCAGAAACCCGATTTTCTCCTGCAAAGTCAGCCTCCCGACCAGATCGGCGACACGATCATTGACCTCCAACGATTTGTCGCAGAATCCGAATCCGGCGAGAGATGGGTTTCCGGAGACGTCGCAGGCGAAGACCGGCGAGGACTGAGCTTCCGAAGGCGAGGGGACGGTCGAGATCCAGAGGAGGAGGAGACAGAAGAAAACAGGTGAAACAGAGGAGCCCATTGCCTGTGTTCTTTTTGCTCCTCTCTTTCTCTCTCTCTCTGTCCGGTATGTCTTTTTGGGTTTATGGATATTTTCTTTTGCGACGCTATTATATAGTGATAAAGTGGTACGTTTGTTGGAGAATGTGGGGCTCGTAATATTTAGAATTATTAATAGTAATTTATATTGTAATAGTATTATTGAATTAGAAATATGTATATACATATATATATATATATATATATAAATGATGATAGTAACTATCACCCCTATGAAATTTGCTCAAGACACCATTTTTCTCGAAGAAATTATAGCGATTCCCTCATTGACAAAAAGGAAAAGCATTTCGATTTACACGGAATATAATAAAAGAAGAAAAATACTTTACTCGGGAAGAAGCTTTATTTTTTTTTCTTTTTATCGTTTTAATTTTTTTTTAGAATTCAAAAATTCAGGGAACCTCTGACCAATTATTTTTCCAAATGAGAGAAAAAATGCGGATAAATACTCTTTCTGACGATTGAATTTAAATTCAGAATAAAAAATATTTTTTTATAACCGGTTTTTGAGCTTTCGATCCGATTACATCCACTCTAGGTTCGGACCACTTTTGTATATAGATCATTTTGATCTAGAAATTATATTCATCCTCATTATCACCTCTCAACTAATGGATCACCAACGGTTAGTTAATAAGAAAATAATTTACATATTCTCTTGTGATTAGTTCGCCCAAGTTTGAATTTCGTTCTAGTATTTGTTTATTTTTTTTTTCAGGTTTAATTTTCATTTGATAAAAATGCAACCATTGATGGGTAAAACTGTGTCTGCTTTTTCTTTGTCATCTCTTTAAGATACCCTTAAATCAGTCAAATTAAGTAAGCGTAATGTATCGTCTTTCCCCATTTATAAAAAAGAAAAGAAATTAATAAATATTTTACAGTGGAACTAAAAAAAGAAAGAAAAAAAAAATCCGTAGATCCAAAAATCAGAGTAAGAAAATGTTTTGTAGTGACCCGTGACGGCGTTTGTTTTAGGAGACTGGAGAACTTTGTCCAGAGTTGGGAGTGTGTGTGAGTCCGTGATTGATTCTGATGACATTTTCGTTTGGTATTTTGCGTGACAGCCTGTCGTTTTAAGGTTTCTCATTTACGTGACTTTTCTTTACACGCAATTAAAAAAAATTGAAAAAAAATTTATATGTTCCCGTGCTTAGAGATGTCCAAATTTCTATACGTATAATGAAAGAGCCTGATATCGAGTTACATGCATATGTAGAAAATGTGAAAAAAAGAGTTGGAAAACGTAATATACAATTTAATGAACTTATTAATCATCACGTCCAATAAAATACAGCATAATTTAAATACATATTATCTTAACAAAATATAACAAAAGGGCTCTAAATTAGACAATGTATATAGAGGACAAAAGAAGGCTATTCATATGCATTGTATTTATGTGTTAATATTTTTAATTGCATTGGCTTCGAAAAACACGTATCTAATACTAAGGATAATATATATATATAAAAGATATTGTGGATAATGTTGGATCGGTTCTGAGTCATTATAGCAGAAGACATGGTAAGCAGCTTTGGGGTCGAGTGGAGGATTGCTATCTCGTGATTGGTCGGCTACATTGCCCCCACGCGCCTTCCCTTATCACTGAACCAACCAACCATATATAGTTATATATATATATATGTATAACGCATTCTGTAAAATGATTTACTTTGGGATTTTATGCGAGCTGTGAGACTTTAATTACATCGTTAATGTTAACAAAAAAAATGCATTTTTACATCTTTGGTATTTGGAAATACCAAATCTATTTGTAAACACAAATTCCAATTCGTTTCTTTTTATTATAAGATTTAAATCGAGGCAATTATTGCATAGTTGAAAAAGGGTGATTGATAGGTATGTGCCTTTTTTTCCCCTTAGATTTAGTTAACTAATTAATTAAATTAGCTAAAAGGTCGATTATCGGATCATTAAATAAGAAAAAGATGTTGCATCTTACGGAATACACGAAAATATAGATTGCATGCGAATATTTAATAATAAGCGACCAAATTTCCACGTCGACATCCATCGAACATATTGTTGTGGGCCCACATATCAATTAAAAGGAAAATGAATGTTACGCATATCTAAGAAAGAAAAAAAAGTGTGAGCAACTTGCAGATAACGTCACAAAAAAGTTTATTATAAAGTTTTTCTGGCTGGAATAAAATTTTTCTAAAATTGATGTCTAGTGTCTAGACAATAGGGGTATACATAATAATCTTTAAAATTACAGATTTAACGGTATATTTACTGTTGTTGTGTTAGATATGAAATAATTGCCTAGATAATATATATGATTTAACATACACGTATTGTATTGGAAATCTGTGACCGATCGAAAATTATATATAATATTAGTATATATACATATACACAAAAGTCATGCAATGTTATATATATATATATATATATATATATATATATATTAGATATGGCTAGAAGTGTAGTGTTATCTTTATAATATGGATACGCACATATGCTACGTATCTATATTGCATTCCTATATGCAAGCATGTAAATTCGGATACATATAAAATTGCATTTTTTGTTATTAAAAAAAATAGAATACCATAAGTAATAAATCAGCCAATGTAATAGTTTTCTGATTTTTATTGATACTACAAATTTTTTGGAATCAATGAATGAATGAAATAAAAATATAATATTTCGAAATTACGTAATGGATATGGAATACGTACGTCGTTAACGGTCCATGAAAACTGGTGGGAAATTAATCAAAATAGGAGTTTATGTCCGACATGTCACGACAAAAGTCCCTCCATTCCATCAATATGAATCGAAGTTTCATTTGCAATGAATAATTGGAAAACTTGGATGCTTCATTTCCTGTACCAACTTTAATAATATAACTTTGGTTGGTATTGCAAACAACTAAAATAAATGAATATCACATTTTTATATAACATATATGAATATTGCCAAATCAAAGCACCGAGCGACCCCGGTACTTCAATTTAATCAATTGGTTTTCCAGAATATACATACATATATATATATATATATGTAAAAAGAAACAACAAAAAGTGAATTATATATATATATATATATATATATATATATATAAAATCAAACTTGTCAATGATTTGTTTTGCGGGAGACGTGATTCATACGTTGTGGAAGCTTTTTTTTGGTAGATATATGATATTTTAGTGTGTTTACTTTTTACCAAATATATAAATATTTTACATGGTTTAAATTAAAAAAAAAAGGGAAAATTAAAGCTAAAACGAATTTAATTTTATAAATTGTAACGCGATTGATGTACACATATGCGAGAGACAAGTGAAGAAAACATGCACTTAACCATGTGGTAGATGCCGTCTGTTTGTACGTATCCTTACTAACACCAAAATGGTTTGAATTTATAATATTAATTTGATTAAACTTTTTATATATAATTATTTGATATTTTAGACCTGCCCTTTGAATAATGAAACCGAGGTACGTAGATGGTATATAGCTGTTTATATATTCTTTTTTGTAATAATTTTATTTTGTGGGTAAGAGCAGGTGACGCATGCATGAAGACAAATAAATAAAATGGTCCACATGTCTAATTGAACTCTCTAACGTAATTCCTAATGTGAAAGAGATTTAAACCTAGCTTTCAAGTATGCCACAATCGAATAACTTGATTTACAATCTGATAGTGTACTAATGGATCCTTTTTTCAGTAAAATTTGTTTTAATATATGTTTAAACTATTTTTTAAGAATTATTGGATCACATTAAATTTAAATTTAATACATAATTAAGCATATATATCCAACGACAACAAATCAATTGTGTATATGTATATAATAAACGCACATCTTTCTAGTTGTCCTGTAAATAATGATATTTCGTTCATTATAATGCTATACGTAGAACATTTCTATACCGAGTCCATATCATATATTATTATTTTATGATATTATCAGACCAAATCCGTGACGATATCATTTAGTTATTCAACGAATCTTGGACTCGATTATTCAATTTTCTGATCCTTTGTGCATTAGAAAAATAAAATATACATACATATATATATATATATACGAGAGACAGTGACGGTGCTGTGACACTCAGAAGAATCATGCGTTCATATATATAATCAATCGAGTATAATAAGCTTCAAAATCATCTGTTATTATTTTGTCCTACGTACATATATATATATATATGTGTGTGTGTGTGTGTGTTGTACATATATATACACGTAACTTTTTATCTAATAATTATGATTAGTTGCATTAAATAATATTTATTGGAATATACTATCATTATCAAAACAACAACAAATACAATTACAGAATTGAACTGCTATTTGCCAAACCACATGAAATATACACTTTTGTAACAAGTTGCAGCTGTTTCACCGAAAGACAAGTAGGTATTTGGATTCATTGGAGAGCAGTGGAGCCAAGGCATGACTCTGCATAATATATATATATATGTAACATATACATGCGCATATATATATATATGAATGTGTGTGTGTGTTATGGTCAGCTGAAGAGCATAATCAGATAAGCCAACGTGATACGTTTTTTCAAATAATGCAATAATGATAAATATCATGTGATAATTGACAACTATATAATTAGTAATAACAGCAGATCATGTTCTTCTAGCGGTATGGTTTCGTCAGTCGAATTGCTTCATGGGTTTTGAGTGCCAATTAAGCGACCAAAAAAAATATATTATTATGTTGCTCATTCGTATTTTTCACGTTAAATTTTCTAAAAATGTATATATATATATATATATATATATATATATGGTATTATACGGATCACAATTATAGCTCTTTTTTATGATTAAAAAAATAGATATTTATGTTGAATATACATAGTAAAATAACCATTTCATATAAAGATGTTTGATATAAAAAATGAGATGCAATAAAGCAAAGTGAAGAATGTAAATGCAGTGAATGAATGGTCCCTTTTGTTGGGATAAGACCAAAGAAACAAAGTGAGTTTGGATTTCATTTTCAATCGCTTGGCATCTAAGCAACTTGTTCTTAATTCCACTTTCTTCCCCCAAAATCCATAACCATTTCATATAACTCTCTCTTTATATATATATATATATATTATAAGCTCATGAATTCTCGATTCTTACCAAAATATCTAAAGGCTAGCAATGACAACATAATTTGATCAATTGTTCCATTACAAATTTTCTATTTTTAAAGTGGCGTAATTATATTCCCATTTATAAAAGAAAAATAATAATCGTGTCATGGGAAAAATATTTTTTTTCTCCCTCACAAGTTCGCATGCGTACGTAGTTACAGTCCTTTTTTCTGAAAGTGTAAAATAGATATTTATTTTTTAAATGGAATTAGGTAAGGTTGCTCACACGTAAATTTTTGTATCCTCTCACACTGCATGATTGCGGTTTGGTTTGGTGGGCCGTTTTGCATCTCCCTCTTTCAACCTCACTATAATTGTTATACAATATATATAATAATATCATATTAGTTTCGAGTTAAATTCGATTATATTGGGGTTTAGTATATTTTAGTTTTATAAAACCTACGATTATTTGATTTTTTTTTATGTTGAATTCATTTTGAAAGGATCGATTTTTATTTAAACTCGTTTTTTATTAATAAAATATTGTTAATTATTATGTTATTTATTCGATTTTAGAACAATTGTAATCATTGAATTTTTATATCGTATTTGATTCGATTACAATTGTATATTATTCAATCCGAATCAATTTAATTATTCGATTATCAGTTAATTCTCTAATTCCCATCTTGGGGTAACCTTTACCAAAAATATATATAATCGATGGTGGTGCAAACTAACAAATAAAGTTAAATAAAAAAAAAAAAAAGCAAGGCCCGGCCCAACTCTTTAGAGCCCAATTCTGCCGCAAACACCCAACACCATCACACAAACTGACGTCATCGCTCGGTCGAGATTCCAAGATTGACGTCATGATATCAAATTGAATGTGGGAATCACCATCAATATCCCAAATTATTTTGCATGAGAGAATGGTACTATTAAATACAATATAATTTAATTATCGTGATCCATAATTTACAACCTTAATATCAGATGATTAACTTTTTACAAAATGGGAATGCAGTGAATACACCTTCCAACGACACTAATACACGTGGCATTGCCAAAATCACTTGCATGGTGTTGATTCAGAAATTCGAATCTACCAATACAGTTTAAACTTGGTGAAAAATAGTTGCATTGTTTGACGTATAGGGAAATAGTATATATATATATACGTAGAACATTTCTATACCGAGTCCATATCATATATTATTATTTTATGATATTATCAGACCAAATCCGTGACGATATCATTTAGTTATTCAACGAATCTTGGACTCGATTATTCAATTTTCTGATCCTTTGTGCATTAGAAAAATAAAATATACATACATATATATATATATATACGAGAGACAGTGACGGTGCTGTGACACTCAGAAGAATCATGCGTTCATATATATAATCAATCGAGTATAATAAGCTTCAAAATCATCTGTTATTATTTTGTCCTACGTACATATATATATATATATGTTTCTATATAAATGAAAGATATGGTCCAAAAGCTATACACTTTATGAAAGTAATGAAGGCAAATAGATTGATATATATATATATATATATTCTTTACGGTCAATATGGAGAAAACGGTCGTATTCATTACAAGATCTTGCGCTATAAATTATTTTTTAAGGCAAATCAATCAGTTTCATATATTAGCGATATCGAATATTTCACATACCATTTGTGCATATTTTACATATGTATATATATACATATATATATATATAAGACAAACATCAATATCCCCCATCAAACGTGATTGTTGGGTATATTTTTAGGGTTTGTGCTCGTACGTTCGAATTATGTGACCGAGAATATATTTTTTTTAAAAAGCAAATAAACATTTTGAAAAAACGTATTGATGGACGTGAAAATGTAACCAGCGGATAAATTATAATCTCGGGAGATGGACGGCCAAGATTCAACCAATTGATGGAAGGACAGAATGGTCATTCAGCACAGGTGATGCGTATTTCGCGTCAAAATGGGGCGACAGTCATACTAGAAATAGTAAATACATACTTCCCCCTCATCGTTCTTCTTCTTCTTCTTCTTCTTTCAATAGACACAAAGATCCTAGAAATCTTCAGAAACTTTCCCGGGAAAATCAGATAGCCGCACAAGACAATACACCACATACATAGCAAATGATACTGTTAGCAGATCCAGATCAAAACAGTATCTTCACCTCATGACAAGCATATACATTGGTTTCTTAGATGCAATAGATTCTCCGGACAGATTGTGTAATAAGCACGTGTGAAAATTCGATTACTTTACTGCCAAGGGCAAATGCGGGCCAAAACTGTGACCTACATCTTATGGTAGCAAGAAAATGACATGGGCAAGAGCAAGAATTTCTGTTATTCTTTTGTCAGTATAAGACATTGCAACAGACAGGAAACAGCGGATAGAAGGTTTTAAGGCAAAAGAACAAAGTAATCTTTGGTGACTTACAGTAACAGAGAGCTTTCTCCATCACCATTACAGTTCAGAATCCGAGGAATCCAAGCTCTTCTCCTCCTTAGGTGGTGCGAACTGACAGGTGAAATGGGATCTCGCCCATGGATCCATAGGCACTCGCGGTGGTGGTTGAGGTGTTGCTGGTTTTGATTGCCTAAGCTCGTTCTCTCTGTCGATAAACCTGCCCGAATGCGAGACATGACAAGTCCATGGATTGTAATTAACTCCAAAGATTACCAATCTCCATCTCTTTACTAAGATCCAAGCTAATGTATAACACCCGAGCGAGGGAAAAGAACTGATAAGGCATTTCAAAGTTGTTGCTATTGCAGAAGATTACAGCTCTAGAGCCTATTTGTGAGTTGTGACAATGTAAGGCTCAATAAATGATTAGGAGATGGAATAGGTTATACTCGATATAGGCCATCGATGCAGCATCGCCAACTCTTATACGAGTCCTAAGCACTCTTGTATATCCACCAGCTCTGTCTCTGTAACACATGACATTCTAGGGATGAAAGCATAATAAGTGTGATAGAACTATAACAAAATGGTAATAGATTCAGAAATTCGCTTGTATCGATAAGCCAGTTCTGTGAAAAGTTTGTGAAGAACATCGTCTCCCCGCACAAAACCCGCAGCCCTCCTTGCAGCAGCGAGAGTGCCCTGAAAATTTAAGAATCCAAATCTAGTAATTGAATGGTAAACTAGAAACACAAAACAGAAACTATCTTCTTGCGGCCAAGAGCTGAGATTTGAACCAAAACATCAAATAGAGCATTGATTCGATTCCAAGAGTTAGTAGTTCTTCAAGTAAACAATGGTTTCTGAGCTCTGAATCTCGTACTTCAAAGAGTTCCTAATAGAGAACAATCTATGAATTCCAAATCCAGATCTGAAATTATGACAAGACAGATGCTAAAGATTCAACACACTGCAATGATAGTGACGAAGAGATTTCTTTAGTTATCAGTGTAAATCTCATACATAAACAGAAATGAGATTGTAAATCTCTAAGATCAACATCACTAAGACAACAAGAATCACTAATGACTGATCCGTACCTCTTTGCCGAGTTGAACCATATTATCAGCAAGACGACGAACCTCTTTCGCCTGCAAATCCGACATTAAATTGCCTCTACTAACAGAGGATCCATGATCACAATTAAATTAAACCCAAAGAATCGAAATCTATAATGCCCGAGACATAATAAAATCATCAAAGGAGAGAAATAGTCTCGTAAATTTGGCACTCTATCACGCGGGAAGAGGAAGGAGAGTGGATAAACCCTAGTAAAACCCTGAAGCAAGAAAAGGGAGAACGGCAAACAATACCTTAGCGACGGTGGTCTCAATACGCTCGTGCTTCACCAACTGGGAGGCCATAGTCCTGTACTACCGAATCGACAACCGTACTGAGAGAGAAAGCGACGAAAATCATAGAAATCGCAAAACAAAGGGGGGAGATGAACAAAAATGGAGTGTAGGTGAGTAGGGGAGAGAGAATGAGAAACCTAAGCATGGACGTACGGTGGCCCGTTGGCCGGCCGAGCTTCCTGAGCTTCGTCATTTCTGCGTCGTAGGGGGAGAGAGAGAGAGAGAGAGAGAGAGAGAAACCGTAGAACTGGAGAAGAGAGACGGTAAACCACTCACATGGCAATGTATTGGGCCAACTAAAGTTGGGCCTGAATGTACGGATTCATCGTCCGTCCATTCAGATCCAAATCTCATAAGTTTTAACAATATGACGGGGGGAAATATTGTCTTATCACTAAAATCAATTTATATCATTGTAATAAAATTTGTATTAAAAATAATTTATAAATTTTAATAAAAATAATAATATAATTTGTTATATGTGTCTTGAAAAAAAAAACAAATAGCTTCTTTATTTATTTATTTTTTTCAAGTGGCCTTTTTACTGGTTTTATCCTTCTGCTTTTAAGTTTAATCCATGAATTGGTGTATTATGGAAAGGGAAAAAATCAGCTCAATTTGCATAATTTAGGTGAAAATCATACGAATTAATGTAATTGATGGGGAAAAACGATTATTTAACTATGACCATAGGCGATAATTAATAGTATTTTCCCCAAAATATCGCCTTATACTTTCTTAGCAACAAACAAATTTAAGATAAGTTAGAATAATAGAATATAGTCTCGTGCATTTTCTAATTATGTTAAAATGATGGTTTTATGTTTGAATTAGTACGAATCGTAAATCATTATTCATATATATATATATATATATATATATATATATATTATTCATAATATTATAAGACGTTTTTTGAGGAATATATTATTATGTACAGTGCAACTTTGAGTGATTCCATATTTATATTCACTTTCCCAAAATACTTGCATTCGATTTTTTTGAGAATTAACTACTCGTTGTTATTATTCAAGATCAAAATTGTGAAATTATAGTTTTATACTTTATATGAGCATCTAGTTTTCCCAATTTTCAAATTTACTTTTTTTTTTTGGCGCAAGTATTTTAAAATGAGTTAAGAGATTATTTATCACAACACGGACACGGGATCCAATGCCTGTTTGTGCAATGTGCACCACTTTTAAGACCCTGTACTCGTACGTTGACGTTTAATTTTCTTTTATATAAATATTTTTAAAAGTAATTACGAACATTTTAATGGGGGGAAAAGTGGATCACTAATTATATTATTATTTTTCATTTTGATCCCTTTGTTTCCAAAAGTTCAAAGGGCATTAACGTAATAAAATATTAGTAATAACAATAATTTTTTTTTAAAAAAGGAAAAAGGAGTATCAAATTGGGTGAACAACAACGATCCTCCATCAAATTGCGACTAGACAAATAAAACTCAACCTTAAAAGGAAAAAAAAAAAGATATTTGATAGTGCCCTAAAAAAAATGTTAAAAACTCTATTCTATTTTTAATTGCAAAAAAAGTTAAAATTTATTTTCTATTTTTAATCATCCGCAATGATGGATGGTGCCCCGAGACCCGCACCACACATTCTTGTATATTTTTTACTTCAAATTTATAATAGATTTTTTTTATGCCACGAAAATATCTAGATCGGATTGTTTAAAATTTGATTTTTTTATTTTATAAAATTTATATCTAACATATGCCTATTTTATTTAGTTTAAACTGTATTCATTATTTCAGATTCAAATTAAAATAAATTTATATTGAGAATATATTATTTTTAAAAATAATTTTAATTCTATTAAGTTTTTTTCTATTATTATATCCCGTTCCAACTCAATTAATTTAATTTCAGATTCTATAAAATACATCCATCATGAAAAAAAAAATAACGGTACGTGGCTGATTGAATCAATTAACATTATCGAATATTAGTAAAACGACGTACAAAGTTCCAATATAACTTAGTGATGGGAATCGTGGAAATGGACTATTATAAAAATGAATTATTTGAATGGAGAAAAAGCCAAATATCTAAAAAACAATATTTTTTCAGCAAACCCTTTTCCACGACCAAACCTAAACGAAGTTAGGTTTTTTTTATATAAATAAATAAAACGAGGCAAACCAAAATTCAGAAATTGCGGGCGTTTTGTCTCCTTGTTTCGTCCCTTTCGTATTTAAAAAATCCACAAGGAAGACTCTCAAACTTGGACTGCCGCGGTCGATTCAGTGATTCTTTACATTAAATTAATTTCAGTTCCAAATTCATTTATAGCGTTTTCCAATTTCTGTAATAAAATTTTTATTTTTTATTTTTTAAAAAACATGCGTTGGTGAGCGCATATTAAATACAAGTAATTGCGATTCAACCTCAATCTTCTAATGAGCCTATATGTATGCTTTTTTTTTTTTATCACATGGTCAAATAATATAAGAGTCAAAGTCAGCATTATTATTTAATTTTTCTTCGATAAGATTAAATATGACACGTAATGTTACTGTACATCATGCGTATTATGGCAGTTTTGACGTGGTGATGGACGACCGACCGTGTGTGAACATATTTAGATTACTGTATTTCGTTATCATAATAATGTATGTGATGTCTTGTTATAAGCTAGCTTCCATGCATGCGTTTACAGTTCTATATATATATATATATATGTATGTATGTATGTATACAAAGTTATATCGAGTTTTCGTATTTGCTTTGTGATTTGATGTATGGTAATGGGGGGGGGAGAAGATTTGGACTTGATTATGTGGTAGTTGTATTCTATTCGAATCCTCTTAAACGATATATATATATCACATGTAACATCAGCATTATTACATGCATCGTGGATCGTGGTATATATGCCATATGCATTTAAACTAAATGACGTAACCCTCTCTCCCACTCTCTCGTTCTTTTTGACAATTGTTTTGGACGTATTTCAAGCAGAATATGTATATCAAAGAATTCGCATTTTAAAAGTAGTTTCATTTCATCCCTTGATGCGAATATGAAATTTGTCAAAAGATAATAGTGGAAACCCATTCAAAATATAGAATTAAACATAAACAATATAATTATATTTGATTTTTCTTTAATCTAATCTAGAAGAAATGTTCGATGAGCAATCAATTGAATCTCCTTTGGGTTTGTATTCACTATCCAAAATTTCATTCAATTTACATTTTTTTTCTCAATAAATGATTTTCCCCCGGAATAAAGAAAATCCTACAAAAAAAAGAAAAAAGGGGAAAAAAAAAAAAAAAAAAAAAAAAAAAAAAAAAGGGGGGGGGGGGGGGGGATCAAAACGGCATGATGTGTGTCGTTTTGGTGTCGTAAGCGGAAAGGCAGGACCTGGAATTAACCTTGAAGACCTTTAACAGATCCGTTAGCATATGCCTGACGGCGGGGGAGCAGTTGCTCTGCAACAGTAACAGAATCTTGGTAACGCCGTTAGTTCTCATGACGGCCTCCTGCGCCTTCTCTTCCTTGAAAAGATAACAGACGCTCCACAGCACCGTCACGGCATGCTCCGTCGCCGCCGCCGACACCTTCATCAGCTTCTTCACCACCGCCACCACGCACGCCGTCTCCTTCTCCGCCGCATCTACACCACCGCAGATCTCCGCCCGGCCTTCCTTGCAGGACGCAAGCGTCTCCAGAAGTTTCAGGCATTTCTCGATCACCGAAGCGCTCGCCGTCGCCGGATCTGTCAACAGCTTCGTGAGCTCCGTTACGAGATTTTCTCGGACGAGGGTGAGCTTCACGCGCTTCGGTGACGCGATCGCGATCAAGCAGGAAAGGCTCGCTTCGATCAAGCTCTGATCGTTATCTCTGTTTATCGACTTAATCAGTTCGTGGATTAATCCGTCTCTCTCAGCGATCAAAAGTTTCGATTCGGCGTCGACGGCGATGAACTCCAACACGGCGGCGCAGTCGATTTTCATATGGCTATTCCTGCTCTTGAGCAGGACGACGAATGCCGTCAAGCAATCTCGACCATTTGATAGGATCAGATTGGAAAACCGTTTCCGATCGGAGATTTTACTCCGGACAACGCTCAGAATCATCACAGCCTCTTGAATCACCTGCAATTTAGGGATTGAGAAGGTTCTAGAATCTACTTGGCCCATGAGATCCACAAGCATTGGCACGAAATCCTCCTTCCCGGCGAGAAATTCTCTATTCTCCTCAGATTCTCTGGCGAATCGGAGGATCTTCGAGAGCATCTCGAGGTCATCGCGAACTTCCTTCTCGAATTTGACTCTCTCGATCGCGATGGCGACCTCGTCCCGCGTCGGTGCGGCGGACTCCGGCGACTCGACGGTCGCGCGGCGACGTACTGACTCGGACCAGAGCTCGATGAGGCGCTGTAGAGTACGGTTGGGGATGAACTCCTTGCTTTGAAGGACCTGCATCGTCGCCGGGCAAGTGTTGTTGCCACCGTCGAGCCAGCGCTGGATGCTGGCGCGGTCATAGGTAACGCCGGTGCAGAGACTCACAGGCGATTTCATCAGATCGAGCGAAATCGGACACCGGAAGAAGCTGGGTACTGTGATATAGAGATCATCTCTCCTCATGCTTGGCCGTCGTTTGGCTCCAGAGAAAGCCTCTGAGAATCCGTCAAGAAAATGTAGAGAGAGAGAGAGAGAGAGAGAGAGAGAGAGAGAGAGAGAGAGAGAAGTGGAGAGGGAGAAGGTGGGAGAGTGCGTGGGGCTATGTTTAAAGACAGGAGAGAGAAATAGTCAAACTATGCTGACGTCTCATTTCACTTTTTTAACAGCATTTCTTATTATTTTAATGACCAAATCGAATAACTTTTAACGATATCGTTTCACTTTATTCATTTCTTTGTCCATTTTCTGTAATAAAAAATACACACAATTTGAATTATATTTTAGAACATTGATGCTTTGATTCCATTGCATGTTTAAACATTGGATTCTAAATGGAAAACAACTCTTATAATTACAAACTTTTTTATTGTCATACAATAGAATTTTTTTTGTGATTGTATATGTTTCGCTTTTGGTCGTTGGTCAAAGGCTGGAGAGTTTGAGTCTGGCTATCTTTCGGCGCGCGTAGACTAGATTGTAGTAGGCTCAATCGGAGCCGTCGATTTTAGGTCGAAATCTATGTGCGGAAATCTAACGGTCTAGATTTGCGGAAAGTGGATACAGATTAGGTTTTAAGTGGGGGAGATTGTGGGGACCACATCCACCTCGTGTCGGGTCCACCGTCTCCAGTTGCACATTTTAGGGAACTCTCAAACCTTTTGATTCCTAAAGAGGCTTTTTTTTGTCTCTTTCTTTTTTTTTCTCTCCAAAATTGTATTTTAAATGTGTTCATCGTACCATTTTCTTAATATTTTAACGAGAAAAATTGTTCGTTTTTTTATTATTAAAAGATTATAATATAGTGCAATGCTTTAATTTTCCACCAGAGGATATAAACAAAACCATTAAAAGAAAAAAAAACGGATAAATAATAAAGACATTAGTGGTGATATGTTCAAATTGACCGGACTGATTCCGTGGTTTCTGCCCTCTTTGCATCTTTCTGCTCCACTTTTGCCTGTTTTATTTTCGACAAGTCGCAAAATGGAGGGTGGCATTGCTTTTATACAACCTTTATTCTTATGCCACGTTTGATATTTATTTCTCCTTGTTATTTGTCGTAGCCATACCACACAATTTTATTTCTGTAATCACAAATCAATACCTTGAAACCTTATATATATATATATAGGCTTGATCACTCTCTCACAATCCATTTCCACCGTGATTTGCCATAGTAATGTCAGTTTGGACATGGCTCGCGACCTACCACATATTTTTTGAGATAGATTCCAAAAATTCGAGCAAAAAAAATGAGTAGAATGAGTCAGTTCGTCGTGAGTCGAGTTCAATCAATTCGAAAAGTTCAAAAAATGGCGACACAAAAAAAAAATTCCTTTGTTTGTTTTTCATATGTTTTGTATTAAATTTAATATTTATAAATAATTTTTATTATGTTTATTTTTTTTATTTAATTCGCGAGTTAGAACGATGTGAAATGAACCATAAATTTTTTAATTCGTGAAAAATGGACCATGAATATATAAATTCAAAACAAATTGTTTCAAATCGATCTGAGCTAAACTGACCATGTTTTATATCAACTTGAAAAAAAAAAAAAAGATAATTTTCGACTGCTATTATTCGCCTCGTACGAGCGCAATGTAGCAAGTTAAATAAATTCATGTATTCATGCCTTAATTCCAATGTTTTATGCCAATTCATATTCAATGCAACTAGACCGTAAACTTGTATAGTTAATGTTGATGAGGTTTAATATTTTATCTATATGGGCCGGAGAATAAGGTTCTAATTGGGCCAATTAGCCCATGAAATAGGTTCTAATTGGGTCGAGTGACCTAATATTTTTCACAGGCCCATTAGGTATCCACCACAAGGCTCCTTTTTCCATCTTGTTTGACTAAATAAGATATTTTTGTTCCTTCAATAATCCTATGGTTAGGAAGTTGGTACCGAAAAATATTTATTTTACCCTAACAAACACATTTAGGTTAAAACGTTGCAGAGATCGAGGATCATACAAATACATATAGTTTAGTGTATTTTGTTAGATATCCGAAATTGATCGTTGTATGAATTAAAAAAAATATAAGTGTTTGAAATAATTAAATATGCACTTAATTAAGACACTTTCTAAATCTTCATTCTTATATTTTTATTTTGAAAATATATATATATATGAGTCCAACTGATACGTTTTCTATGTACAATCTCAATTTAAACCGCTATGTAATTGGTGCAATCGTATCTACAACCCGCAAATCTAACTGTACCATTGACCACCGATTTTAAAATTAATGATCTTGTTATAATATTTAAAAAATTCCAATTAAAAGATATTGTAATAAGTTCGGTCCAAAGGTCAAAATCCAGGTTTCAAACGAGATTTCCACGATTATCTTACCGAGTTATTATGTTGTTAAATATAGATATACGTGTCATTGTTTGAAGGTGCGTTAATTATTTAATTTATTTTATGTCAAAGTTGTTGTAGTATATAAGAATAACATTAGAAAAGTTGAAATTAACCAAATCAAATTTGTTGTTAAAATATTCGAATTTCAAAATTATTGTAAGATACGACTGTAAATGACTTCCTAATATTAATAAAATTGACGATTTAAGCAAAATTTTGAAAAAAAAATGACCGATAAAGTATTAAAAACCTTGCATTGTTAAAAAAAAAACAAAGTAATATATATAAAGATACATAAAAATACGAAAATATGTTAAAAAAATAAAAATATAAATTTATCGGGAAACGGAAATATATATATATATATACACACACGAGAAAAAGTGGATTATTCATCCGAAAATCAAAAGGCATCAGCGAACTTGTTAGTTCACCCCAAGAATTCATGATTCTATTTATGACGAACTTGTCACGAACGTACCACAGCTCCTTTTGAACTGAATTCATGAATATAATTATTTATTCCCACTTTATTGTGTATTTATTAATGGAAGCTATACATATATATACATATATATATAGAGAGAGAGAGAGATTCAGATCATTGAAACTCTATCAGAATCACTAAAGAAACTTTCATAAAAAATGGAAAAATGATTCATCGAACATTTTCTCAAAAAACATATATATATATATATATATATAACAAGAAAGCGAAATATGTGGTGTGACATGATCATGTGAATCTTAACATTCAATTCAAAGGATATGGCCATGACCCTCTCTCTGTCTCTCTCTCCTTACCTTTTGCACCTGAACACATTCCGTACAATACGCGTATTCAAAGTACGTATAATATCTCCACACATACGTACTCACACGTGCATGCATACAAGACGACGTATATGTATTGTGTATATCATTGAGCATTCATGCATCTTATGTGCATGCATCATTGCCCAACTTGCTCCGTGTGTATATATACACACTTTTATACGTTTTCTTCGACAATGTCACCCCTGTCGCTTGACGGTGTATATACATCCAAATACACTTGAAAACAAGGCCGAATCAGCTTCGTACGGCGGATATAAGCTATAACACGCACTTTGCCGTACCGATTATAGTCAACACGCCACGAAACAGAACAGTCTACGTATCTGCATTATTAATTAAAATATTTCATAAAATAATGAAATCATATATATATATATATATATATATGGGGAACAGTAGAAGGTACGACTAAAGCTACGCGAGTCAACGTTGAGACAGTGAAGAGGATGGGTTTCGATAACTTAGGTTTCACCAAAAAAAAAAAGTGATTTTTTTTACTGACACGCGACACGACGCGACGCATCAAAACTACGTCGTTTCCTCTTTGCTATTTACAGTTTTAACTCCACGTTCTTCCATATTTGCCCTCAATTTCATGCACGGGGCTAATTTCGTGCTTTCAAGATACGGGCATTATACCGTAGCGTATATGAAAGTCCTGGTGGTATTATACACGCGGACCTACGGAAAGAAAGAACATTGGAAGATGGTGACAGGAACAGGTGTGTATGTACTGTCTATAGTGTATATATCTCGTGAATGTATATAATATATGATTTGATGTAGCTTAGATTGAGGAAGCTGTCCAAGAGATTGAACAGTTTGATCCCTCTATTGACATAATTCTAGTCGGCCACTAAATTTAGGGTGGGGCCAAAACATGTATACATTCTCGCCTAACCAATAAATCAAATAATATAAAGTTTTGACGTGACGTATTAAAAGGCTTATCATATTCATTTTCCTTCTCTCTTTTGCCCCCTCCCATCCCTGTTCTTTCTTTCTTTTTTCATCTCACACTGATGGCAAGAAACCTTTCATATGCTATCTTTTTTTATTATATATTTTCATTTTAAAATTAAAATAGACAAAATATAATTATGAAACTGCATATTTCATTTCGTTTCGGGCTTGTAAATCGCTAGGCTTTGTGATATTTACGTGTGATATGACTCTCGCTTTCACTAAACTCCTCGTGGGGGGTCCCTTCCTATGTGGACCTCCCATGCATATCTATCTGTTCATTATTTTTTTTAAAAGGAACATTATTTAAATATGTTTCTTATATATCGATCGATAATTTCAAAGCTCCGTACCATTCGTTTTCAACGACGACGATTCCATGAAACAATTATCTATTTACAAATGCAGAAAATATATAATCGAATTATAATTATTATATAATTTCATGTTTTATTGAAATATTTGTATGTAGCTTATATATTAGCGTGACATGGGTCATGAATGGATGATATAAAAGACAGGACATCTCCACGACAATCATACAACTTTCCTTCCGTGTTCATGAAATTGCTTTTTTCCCTCTTCAAAGCTTTTTTCATCTTTATTGCTTCTCTCTTCGATCTTACCTATATATAGCATGTGTATCTATATAACCTTTTTTTTCTTTATTGAAATAAAATTCAAAAACAGCATACACACAAAACCATAACCCAAAAAATTCAATTTAAAATCTCAGTCACACACTCTCTCTCTTTCTCTCTCTAAACACACGCACACACACATATATATACATACATATATTCCAAATCTGCCCACGTTTCTTGCTGTCACCAATTCATCACTGTCTTTTTTCCCTCGCCTCGCACCTATCACAAAACCCTTCAAAATATAATAAATAATTTCAACCAAAAATTTCCGAAAACCCTTCAAAAAATAACCTCTCTCTCTCTCTCTCTCTCTCTCTCAGAGACAATGTATCAACGTTGCAGATTAAGAACTCGACAAGTTCTTATTCTTGTTTTATTGTTTCTATCCACGACTATGGTTCTTCCGGGACTCTGTGAGGGAACAAGAACGGCCAACGTCTTCGACTCGAGGCGGAACGACGCCGTTTCCTCCCACGATTATGGAAAAGGACAGTTCTTGGGATTCTTGCCCAGATACTTCCCCATACCAGCTTCCGGTCCTTCGAGAAAACACAACGACATCGGTTTAAACAGTTTCGGATCATCGCCCTGATCTCTGTCCTAACCCAAGGTGATTTCTTTTTTTTTCTTGGATTATGTTTTTTTTTTCTGGGCCTTTGCTTGTAAATTAAGATGAGAAAAAAAAAGAAAATTCGAGGAATTTATTATTATGATGGTGAAGTTGGTGTAAATGGGTTTGATGGGTCACGTCGATTCTTTACGTGTGAACGAATAATATAAGATTATACATCTATCTATCATGTATTTTTTTTCAATATTATTGTATCTTGTTATCGTATGATGGATTGTCGGATGAAATGTTCTCGATTTCGTATTCAAGACGCGATCTTGAATTTGAGGAAGGTACTCTTGTTTTTTCCTCCCTTGAAGTATACGTGAAGATGTAATAACGCTAGGATTATTTTGGTAATTAAAAATTTTATATTTGCAACTCTTTTTTTCCTCCTCGACCAAGGGAATTGAAATAAAGGCTAAGAAAAAATACGTATATGTGATGACGTAACGAAATATTATGGAAACCAAGGATTCAGGGCAATATAAAAAAAAATATTTGAAACAAGAGAGTCTCGTGTTAATTGCTTACTCTTTACAAAAAATCACTAATATTGTGTGTATATATATATATATATACACACACACACACATGTGTGAGATCGAATGTGTCCAATATGTATCTTTTTTTTTTTTTTACTGCAGAGCTAACAAAAAGGTGATTGGAAATGTCAGAAGACAGTGATTTCGGTGTTCAAGTTTCAATTTGACAAAGAATCCAATTGTATTATTATGGCCCATAGGGATCGGTATTTATATATTTACTTGCTTTTTTTTTCTTACAAAATGTTTTATTGGTTTAAATTAATGATCACGAAAAAGTTGATTGACAATAGAAGATAAGAATAGCTTGTTTTGTATGGTACATTTCGAGATGCAGTGTCCAAACACCAAACAAAAAAATATGATCTATTCAAATACAATTTTGCCCTTTGAATTGACTTTGACAATATGTTGTTACATGTTTGTGAGTGAAAGAATCGGACCATATATATATGTATACATATACACGCGTATATATATATATATATATCGAGTTTACTTTAACTATTAATATGTCCGGACGATTTGGATTGGAGTAATCTTAGGAAATATTTAAATGAAATTGCCTTTCATTGGGGAAGAAGAGCCTAACAAAACAAGTGAATGCCGTCACATAGTTTCCTTATCGTACTTTTAGATGCAGTGTTTTGATCGGAATATGGATTAATTTATCATAATTCTTTTATTTTTATTTATCCAATAAAAATGATCATTTTATTTACACTTATGAAAGAAATAGGACAACCCCCCTTTAAAAAACCCTTAAAAATGATGTAATAATTGGTATGTTTTAGGTTTAATAGTTTTTTTTAATCAATTATTGTTTATCGAATCATATAGTGTTTAACAAATTATAAAGTGCAAAATTATTTCGGATGCATTATTAATTTTGTTTTAAAAATCCCAAATGGCGGTGTTTGACCATGTACACGTGCACGTGCGGTGTGGCCGTGCGGGCGATGGGGTCACGACGAATTTCATGCGCATAAATTATATTATATGCGTACAAGACACATGCTGACAAGATCCACCGAGACGATTCTATTATTTTCCTCACAATTTTTTTAAATAAAATAATATATATATACACACACACACAGTAACTCACTCGGAATGGGCCTTGGATTGGGCCTTCAAGAGAGGAATGTCCATTTAATTGGGCTTATCACTATAATTAAAACCCAAGCCGTTATTGGTAAAACCCGTATGTTAAAATAACCGATTCAAAAGGAGAAATTGGGCCATCTCGGCATTTTGGGCTTTAGAAAATAGGAAAAGGCACAATAGATCTTTTAATACATTTTCTTGATTATTTTATATCCATATTTTCGTTTTTCTATTTATCATATTATTGTCCGTGTATTAGAATACGGTACAATATTTGTCTGTAGTCTCACACCAATGTAAATGAAAAGTATTCCCTATAAAGCACATTAATCCTATAGGGGTAAGTATATGGTAAGATTGGTGTAATTCCAAAAATAAAATGTAAAATGAATATACATAGTGGAAGAAATATAAATCGAATTGTCGCCTTTGATTATCTTTCCTTCCAATTCAACTACAAATGATGGCGGCATTGTCTTTTCTTTGAATTTACTCTTAGCCCTTTAGTATATGTGGTGGTCATTTCTGTATCTGTTACTATTATTGCGATAATAATAATAATAATAATAATAATAATAATAATAATAATAATAATAATAGTAATAACCTTTTTTTACAGTATTTAAGTTGCCAACTAAGCTAAACTGCTTTCCAACTTTGATAGACAAAGCGTAGGCACTTAGCACATGCTTGGAACATGCGTCACCTTTATTCCAAAAGGATTCATTTAGGTTTTGGTTTACTTTAAAAAAATCCAAGATTTTGTATTTTTTTTTCTGTTGTTATAAATTTAATGACAAATTTAGCTGTCTTATGTGGATCATATGTATTATTTACTGCCCCTTTAGGATAACTGATGGTACGGAAATTATTTATGTTATGAAAAAAAACTATATATTCAATTAAATGCTTTTTAGACTAGTAAAATATATAAATTTGGATTTTAATAGCAACTAATTTTATAAAAAAAACAATATAACAAAGCTACTTACGACTATATATATATATATATATGTGTGTGTGTGTGTGACATATTTTTGTCACGGTTAATGTTTAAGTTTCATATATATACCATTGATTTAATAAGTCATAAATTAATTACAAACTAAAAAAAGTTAAAGACAAATATATATATATATATATAACTGACACGGAAGCAGATGGTGTGATAACATAAGTAAACAAACATTCGGTTCTGTAGACAAGATTTATTAATATCCAGAATATTAAATTTGAAAATACAGAGCTATTTTGTCTGTTTAAATAATTTTATATTTTTGTAATAATCGAGACGGCAAATTTGAACGCTGTCGGAGCCAAAACTGAAGCCGAAAAAAGCCGATCCAAGCCGAGCTGAAAATAAAGCCGTTGAGATCCAACGGCTGAGATCAATCTAAGATGATCAAGTGCAGTCCTGGTGTGCCAATAAAGCTGCCATGCCACGTCACCCTATCTTTTCCTCTGTGTGGGCGGCATCATGCCCCCTCAGATTTATTTTTATTTTAAAATTTATTTTCGAATTTCATGAACATTTTTAAAATTCAATTTTTAAAAATGGAAAAAAACAGATGAAATGTAGAAAATCCCACCTATATATACATATATATATATATATGCTCATATGCTTAGCACCACTTACTTTAGTCGCTGCTGTTTCTGCTTTGCCTTCGCCGAGCCGTCATCATCTTCTTCGAGGTGAGTTTTGATTATGTTTGTGTTCTGTGTTCGAATTCGTTTATGTGTTTGCTGTTTTGGATTTCCACAGGTCAGATCCGTGTAGCGTGCCTCGATCTTGGTATCGTATTGTATAGCTCGAACTTTGGTTTACTGGTCGGATTTAAGCCGAAGATTCTAGTTTCGATCTAAATCTTCGATATCTTTATGACTTATATGTTAGATCTGTGCTGTTTGAGGTTTCTTCCTGCTTGTTTGCTGTACTGGTGGTTGATCTGTTGGAATCTGTTGTCGGCCATGTATTTTAGGTTGTCGAAGCCCTTTAGTTCGAAACATTCTGCTTTTTTCTACGATTTGTTCGGTTGATCTAGTTCCGATCTTTGATCTGCCATGGATCGGCAATCAGAAGTGGATTTCAGGCTTGTTTTGCGGCAATCTATGAGGCTGAACACAGTGTTTTGAACTTTGCTGATTCTGCTAAACTCGTTGCTTGATGCGAACATTTAACAGTATGTACAGCAATCTGTGGGCTTGTAGAGAATAGCTCTATCCGATTTCGATGCTGTTTGAGAGAATGCGATTACATTCTTGGTTCCAATGTTCTGCGGTTTGTGCGTAGGTTGTAAAAGATGGCCGACGCTGAGGATATTCAACCCCTTGTCTGCGACAATGGAACTGGAATGGTGAAGGTGTGTAGAGTTGTAGTTACAGTCTGGTTTTTGTTCGGTGTTTGTGTCTGCATCAATTAGAGTGTCTGATTATGGTCTGTGTGCAGGCTGGCTTCGCTGGTGACGATGCTCCGAGGGCGGTGTTCCCAAGTATTGTCGGTCGTCCCAGACACACTGGTGTCATGGTCGGGATGGGTCAGAAAGATGCGTACGTTGGTGATGAAGCCCAGTCCAAAAGAGGTATTCTCACTCTGAAGTATCCTATCGAACACGGTATTGTTAGCAACTGGGATGACATGGAAAAGATCTGGCATCACACCTTCTACAACGAGCTCCGTGTCGCTCCTGAAGAGCACCCGGTTCTCCTGACCGAGGCCCCTCTTAACCCTAAAGCCAACAGGGAGAAGATGACTCAGATCATGTTCGAAACTTTCAATGTCCCTGCCATGTATGTTGCGATTCAGGCCGTTCTATCTCTCTACGCCAGCGGCCGTACAACCGGTTAGTGCAGAATTCAGATGGATTTTTCCAAGTTTTTTTGTTTTCCGAATTTCGCTAATGAATCGTTTCTTTCCAATAGGTATCGTGCTGGACTCAGGTGATGGTGTATCCCACACTGTTCCAATCTACGAGGGTTATGCCCTTCCACATGCTATCCTCCGTCTCGATCTCGCCGGTCGTGATCTCACCGATTCTCTCATGAAGATTCTCACCGAGAGAGGTTACATGTTTACCACCACTGCTGAACGTGAAATTGTCCGTGACATCAAGGAGAAACTAGCATATGTTGCTCTTGACTACGAACAAGAGCTCGAGACCGCAAAGAGCAGCTCCTCGGTGGAGAAGAACTACGAGCTCCCCGACGGGCAAGTCATAACAATCGGAGCTGAAAGATTCCGGTGCCCGGAGGTCCTGTTCCAGCCGTCAATCATCGGGATGGAAGCACCCGGAATCCACGAAACCACATACAACTCGATAATGAAATGCGACGTCGACATCAGAAAGGATCTGTACGGAAACATCGTCCTAAGCGGTGGATCAACGATGTTTCCGGGAATAGCAGATCGTATGAGCAAGGAGATCACAGCGCTTGCGCCAAGCAGCATGAAGATAAAGGTGGTTGCGCCTCCAGAGAGAAAATACAGTGTCTGGATAGGAGGCTCGATCCTCGCATCCCTCAGCACCTTCCAGCAGGTAAAATAAAATCAAATCTAAATATCACGCAATGTTATTGCTATAATCTTCTGGGATATTCATCATATCTCTCCGTATGTGAACTTATTGGGAATCGTCAATGCTGTGTTTACCCGTACCAGATGTGGATATCGAAGGGCGAGTACGATGAGTCGGGTCCGTCGATAGTTCACAGGAAGTGCTTCTGAAGTCCGTACACGATCCGGTCGCCCGTACGGTGGTGAGTTGTCGTTTATTTTCAAGCGTGGGTTTGGATGGAAGTGAAGGATAAAAGCCGTACTTACTGTTGTGTAAGATCTTCCTCGTAATATGAATGTCCAAGTCGGAAATATCTTAAGAAGCCTTTATTTAAACCCTGTCTCTACGTTTATCACTAGGGTTGTTTGTAGCCGGAGAGTGGTTTGTGATGATTTTTTCATGTTTTTTTTTATAAAAAAAAAAAAATATCTGGCCCATTGTTTTGCTTATCCTTTATAAATAATATTTGTTTGGTTGTCCCAAGGTTAAATAATACGTTATATTTGTAGGAGAAAATTGGAAGTTAGTGTGTCAGCTTGCAGTTATATTGGTTTAATAAATCTTTATACATTTACTCGGTTTCTACGTTGACGAGGATTTTACTAAATCTAATGATTATAATTTATGTGAACTAAAAAAAACGAAACGAATTTAAAAAAAATAACCGAATAAATTGAAATTTTTAATTGAGTTTTTTTTTTATCAATAAAATCGAATCCGAAACGAGACGAGATTAATTGTAGTTTGATGAGATAATCTATTCATATGGATATAGTATAATGTACGAAAGCATTCGGTTGTGTTTTGATTCACCTTTTTTTTTTTTACTGGAAAATTAAATTAAAGACCGGATTTCCCTCCCGACAATGTTGTTGTTGTTAGTTGCCCCCTCACCCACACGTCTTCCGTTGAAAATCTTGGAATGGTCGGTCCGACAGAATCTCCCTACCAACCATAATTGTTCTTTATAATAAAGGAACCGACTAATCACGTGACATTACATATGTGTACATATGCACTCAAATATCACAAGACTCTAATACGAAATTTGTAATGTAAATAAACATTGTGATGCTTTTATCATGCGGAGTCTATATAATATATACCTACCCGGCACCCGCTGTCAATGATGGGCCGACAATATTGATATGCCTTTAAGCCCATATTGGGCCCATTTAGTTGTGATGAATATCTGGAAAAATTGGGTCAGTGAATAACTTCTCACAGAATTCTTCACTAAAAACCAATCTACTCTATGGGCTTATTGGGCTTATTCAGTTCCATCTTAATAGGCCCACTTAGCCCAACACCTTGTCAACCTCCTCTTTTTTTTTTCTTTCTTTTTTTTTTCTGGCCACACACGGATGAACAAATGATATAAATAAACAATAGCATAAAATGTATTCAGACAAGTCTTCCCTGATCCGGAGGAACAGGAGAAGAGAACTGTGGGAGTTTACTTAAGGAACACGCAACTAGATTCCTTGTGCAGGAAGCAAAAAAAATTTGAGGCATTTTCAGGATATCTCTGTTCTTTTCAATACGATGATGTTTCCCTTCTCTTCCCTTCCTATCTGTAAATCTCCATCCAAGTATCTGACATCAATGTCAAGAATCAAGAAACATTTCTCCATTTATATGATCTTAATATGACATTTTTCAGATGGGTTCGTGTCGATTTTAGATGATTTTAACTGTATTAGATCGGAGATGAAAAGGATACAGGATCTCGAACCGGCCCTCTGGGTTGAAGACGCCTAGAAGGAGATCGTAGTTTTGTCTGAACATGCTCATCAACTGCTCCACACAAACAAAAAAGTATAATATCCAATATATTTATATACATACATACACACATATATAAAGAAACATGATATCACAGTACCTGATCAGGCATGATGGTTGAGCTCTCGTACGTAACGTCAACTGTCTGCAACAAAATTTCAGAGCCACAAGCGAAAACGCAAATCCATTAAAACGCGAAAACGTGAAACGCAAATGCAAGACGTGGAGTTTTCCGTACCGTTCCGGAGACTATCTTGAAAGAAGCATCGATCTTTAGCTCGCCGTCGATCAGATTCAGTCCCCGGACGTTGAACTTTATCACATGAACGGATTTTCCCTTCCGTTCCGATCACCAAAAGACACAGTATCTCTCAGCCCTGATTCGCATTTCTTTTCGGGTTTTGCGATAAATAAAGATGAAAAAGATCGATATTTTCATTCCTACCTGAGAAATATCGATATGCTGGAGAATATCTCCCACCGAGACAAAATCCCGTAGGCCGAGCTTTGTCCGTTTGGATCCCAAGATAGTGATGGTGGAGTAGATAAGTTTCCAACAACCTCGGAACTTGTCAAGATCTCCGGTGGGATCTGCTGTCGGATTCCGACAGTTGAGGAGCTTCACCAGGTGCTCGATCTCTGATTTCCTCGCCGACGTTACGCCGAATATCCCTCTATTGATCCCTTCAGTCAAATACGACAACCCCTCTTTCACTTGGAATTTCATCTAATGCATAATGCAGCGTTTAAACTTTGTTTTTTTTACACATTTAGTAAATTTTACATTACGTGTGATTACATCCGTACTGAAAAGTACAGTCCCTTTTGGAGGAACCCATTAAAAATCGTATTTTTCATGCAATAAATGACATGATTCCTTATCATGAAGAATGATTTTCCAGATCGATTTGAACCACTGATCATGAGAATCTAAACTAAACGAGTTGCATTGCATCACCTTTGACAGCCTCGTAGAGCTCTTCTTTGATCTGGGCAACCGTCTTTTCGTCTTCCTCTTGTTCTTGTCCTTGGGAAAGGGGGAACAATCCAGAGCCCTGTTCTGCAGCTCTTCTGATGAACCCAGACGGGCTCTCATCGAAACTTCTACTTTTGATCTTCAAACCGTTTGCGGGACCAGATTTGAGAGAAATCGTCTCGCTTCTTGCCAGTTTCCTTCTCCTTCTTCCTGGGTAAATTCCTCCGACTGATGCTGCTGTCGATGGCTGAATCAGCTTACTCGCCGCCATTGCCATCCAAAATCCTTCTTCTTACAAAGAAAATTAGATGGAGAATATATGAATATCCAAAAGCTAAGAGACCATTGGCGGAGAAAATTGGAAGAGAAATATACTTGTTTTTTTTTTTTTGGGTTCTCTCTCTCCAAGTGCTCTATTTTTATTTGTCAAGAGATCTTGATTTGGGAGCTTTTCAGCTGCCACCACGTGAAACGTGATATTCTCTCTCTCCTCTCTCTCTCTCTCTCTCTATATATATATATATATATGCCACTTGCGTGGTCATATTTTGTATTGTTAAATATTTTCCCCGAATTATAAATATTTATTTCACGAAGAGCTGAGTAAACGAGACCATGACCTCCAAAGATTAATCAGAGGCTCATTGAAAAGCATCGACATAATAAATTTCATACAAATGATTGTAGTGTAAGATTTCATTTATTCAAATTTATTTCCTGGGCATCATTTTCCTCATATGATCTATAAATCCACCATACATGCTTTTCTCTCTCTCTCTATATATATATAGAATTTATGAGGTTTGCCGCCCAATCAAGAAGTACCACAACAAAGTCGATGTTTTTTGCTTTTGTTTCCACGCAGAAACGTTCGAAGCCTTACAGACAGGAGGGCGTTCAGGCAATAGTGGTCGGAGTTGCAGAGTCCTGCAATGGCTTCCACTGTTCCGGCGTCTGAGCTTTCTTAATGGAGAGGGCATGAATCTCCTTCATCTCTTCCTCCAGTGCTGCATTCACCATCCGGTGCCTCTCTAGCAACCTCTTCCCTTCAAACTGTTCCGAAACAACCTCGATCTCAAAACTCGCCCCGCAGCTGCATGATGATGGGGACAGACAGTCAGTCACAAAAGATTTCTCCATTTCGGCTGGGAAATGGCGAGAAAAAAAGATTCAAAGGTGATATAGAACTTACCCTCCAGACGTGTCGATCACTTCCTGGTACATGAAATGAAACCCAAGAAGAAGAAGATCAGATCAGATCAGAATCCATAGGTATTCGACAAGATGGCAGTGTATTGAATTCTATAGAGAATTCGAAAAATGGAACGAGAGATTTTGGGAATTTTCTGCGTTATTGAATCAAAATGTTCATACGAGGCTCATGTCTAAACCGGCTGCTAAACCGATGTGGCTACAAAGCCAACAATGAACACATGTTCTTTGACAAAACCAAAGGAACTAAGATCAAACACACTATATCAAGTGTCAATAACGCCGATATAATGTATATTTGGGCAATGAGATATAAGGTTTTCACTGCAAGCAACTTTGGTCATAACTTCCATCTCTCTTCTCCATCATCAACCCTTTGCTCCAGTACAATGCATAAATTCACAGAAACATATCACTTGTTTGCTTACAAAAGGATAGAAAACATGCATCGGGAAAATCACCCAAATAACCCACTTGGATCGCATCTATTTCAGTATACACCACCCAATTTTTTTTTTTTTCAATTTTAACCCACTTTTTGATGGGAAAAGTCTGAAATACCCTTTTCGTTTTATTTTTTGCGATTTTATTACCACTAACATATAACTGATATACAACTAAAAATAAGACAGATGATTTTTTGCCACCTTTTTTAGAATCAATTGTAACTATATTTAGATTTAATTACGAAATCGTAATAACGAAGTTGTTTTCGAACGGATAAATATCGTAATTCATTAAGGGTAATTTCGTCTTTTCGCAGAGAAAAATGTGTTATGTTTTCGGTGGTGTACAGATGAAATAGATGCGACATGCATCCCCCCATTACTAAACCAGTCTAAAGACGGAGCGCAGAGACAGAAACTGCATCAGTATGGGAAATTGGTACCATAGAGATCGATTAATTTTTTCCATATTTCATCACAAATCGGACCATATCAAGCGATGAATCTCCCGGATTCCTCTAAAATCCTCGCAATTTTCCAGGGACAGACAAAATCGCGTGGAACGTATGGACACAACGGAGATAAAGAATCGATCCAAGGAAGAGAGACTCACGAGATGAACAGGTTTGAGCTTCGAAGTCAGCGAAGCTTCGACTTGCTCCTTCGTCACCCCCATCTCTCTCTCTCTCTCTCGGAGCAGAGTCTAAACCTTAGCTGTGCTCGAATGGCGAAGAAGGCTTGTGGGTTCGTTGCCGATTTGTGGATGAGTGAACCTGATGAGCCGAATATGTTCTCTGCCACTTTTCTACATCGTATCGTGTTCTTCCCAATCCCATATTCGCGCTCAAGATTCTATACTATCCATAGACTTATCATCACAAATCAAAACCCAGAATTATTTGGGTGTTAGGACCAAACCGTGAAAAAAAGAATCTGAATTTACGAAACATTGAGCTTTGAATCTTGAATCAGAAATCGCACTTCGGTGTCGGTGAGGAGCTGACGAGGAAACCTCACGGTTCGTTGTTTGATGTCCCTTGCAAGTGTGTTTGGGCCTCAATGTTAATTTTACGGCCCATTTTATTGGGCCTGATTTTGTATTTCCTCTTTATATCCGACGTTTTAGAGTTTTTAGGTTTTAAAAACTCAAAAAATTATCGATCAAAGTTTTTTAAATTTGGTTTTCTTAAAAATTAGGAAAACTATTTTATGGAAAAAAAATGAACTAAAAATTTAAAACTACATTTTTTTTGGATTTACAAATCTATAAAAATCAAAAGTCAAAAACCAAAAACTAAAATTTAAAAACCAAAAACTAAATCTAAAAACTCAAAATAAAAACCCCATCTATTCAACAATGTTTGATTATAATATTAGATATGTACTCTTAACAATGTTTGCTTGTAATAAATAAATATATAAACCCAGAATTATTCATACTATATAAGTCAAAATATGTGAATTGAATATTCAAAGTCTTCGTTATAATATCTTAATCTCTGTTTCTCCGTGTTCCTTCATTCTCCAAAAACTTCTATTAATCTATATATATTCAAAGATTTTTTTTTATATTTTAAATATATTTTTAAATTAAATAATATAATTTTACTAAATATTTAGTTTATATTTATTTTTAAAAATAATTTTATGGGTACAAGTATCCGCGAATATCCGTCTCTTAGTTATAAATACCCGGTCGAAGGATATCTGATATTAATGAGATAGAGAATGAAACTCGCGAAAATGAAGACGAAGAGGTATCTTTAAAATCGCGGGTAACTGATCCGTGACACCAAGATGGACTTTCTTCATGTAAAAAGCCCAGCTCATTTTACTGTCAACCAGTGTCAATACTAAATGGGCCCAAAGCCCAAATAATTAAACCGCTAATTACTAATTAGTTCTTCATCACGTGTATGGCATGTGATCGAGGGTTTTAGACTGGTTGTCTTCCTCCTCCTTCCTACCTGTCCTAAACCCTCTTTTCAATTTCCACCGCTTTGCTGAAGCGGATGCATTTCCGCCATTTCCATCAAATCCCGTCTAAACCCTAGCCCGCAAACCATGAAATTCGGCGCTCTCCCCTCTAAGACACTCCTTCTCCGCCTCTCCTCTTCGCCCCTCACCGCCTCGCCGCTTCGGACGATCTCCGTCGTCGTCGCCGGTTTCTCTACATCGTCGTCGTCTTCCACTGGTGCGGGTTTTGGGTCCGTTTATCCTCCTTCGAGACGTCCTCACCACGATGATGAGTCTCGGAATATTAGGGTTTCGGTTTGGTGGGACTTCGAGAACTGTAACTTGCCGGCAGGTGCGAATGTGTTCAAGTTGGCCCAATCCATCACCACTGCGGTCAGAAGCAGCGGGATCAAAGGTACCATCACGATCACCGCCTTCGGCGATCTCATGCAGCTCTCCAGGACGAACCAGGAGGCTCTCTCCGCCACGGGAATCACTCTTACTCACGTCCCTCAAGGTTGATTTTCTGCTCTGGCTTCTATTTGAATTCTGTCTCCTGCTTAATATTTGATAAAAAAAAATATATAATTTCCCCCTGGTCAAAGTAGCAAATGGTTGAAAATGCAGCGAACTCATGTTAGTTTGGCAGTTCTTCGACAAGTAAAGATTGTTTTTCTACAGAATAAAAGGGAAAATTTTGTTACTGAGAAAAGGGCATGAATAGCTTTACAATGTTTTGATGTGATCACAGGTGGGAAGAACAGTGCTGACAGATCTTTGATTATAGATCTTTTGTGGTGGGTTTCTCAGAATCCACCTCCTGTTCATCTCTTTCTTATATCCGGAGACAGAGATTTCGCGAGTATATTACACAAATTGAGGATGAACAACTATAACATATTGCTTGCGAGCAGGGACTCTGCCCCTGGTGTTCTCTGCAGTGCTGCGACAATTGTTTGGGACTGGAATTCATTGGCTAAAGGAGAGAATGTGACCGCTAAGCACTTTAACCAGCCGCCCGATGGCCCGTATCATTCTTGGTATGGTCATTACAAGGTTCCTCTTCTCGATCCGTTTGCTGCCACTGAACAATCAGGTTGTGCGAAAACTGAAGAATTACCCGGGTCTAATTCTAATTTGGGTTGTACAGCCCGCCCAATCCCAAAAGAAGTTATGAAGCAGATTAGTATGATTCTGAGTTCATACCCTAAGGGGACATCGATTGGAGACCTGCGCGCAGAGCTCATCAAGAACAAGGTACCGTTGGATATGGACTTGTATGGGTACAAGAAATTTTCCCGGTTTTTATTGTCCATGCCACACATCTTAAAAGTTTATCCGCTAGGTGATGGCCAGTATATTGTCCGTGGGATAAGGCGGAAAACTCCTATGCAGTTTGGTTCTAGAACTGACCTGTCTGCTGCCTCTGATCAGAAAGTTGCAGAGAAAGAAGCTGATAATGCTGTGTCACCAAAACTTAATAGTGATGCAGAAGTTGCTAATCTGGCTGTAGGAGCTAGAAGAGATGATACATTAGGAAAGACGCAGAACAGTACAGAGAGAGACAAGAATGTCAAAGAGGAAGCACAAGAACTAGAAAAGAGTTCCCTTGAGCCAGTTTCAGTTAGCAAGCAAGGTGTTAAGGTGATGGATGGGCACATGACAAAGAATCATATGGCCCCTGTGGTTGGGGATTCCAGGGAAGGTAGATATGTTCAGAGGTTAAAGAGACTGTGGTTTGGTTCATCTGAGTCGGAATCATCGCATCCTTTAGATAATAAACATGTTTCTGTAAATTGGCTCGAGGGAAAAGGGTTTATTGATAAGGAACTAAAATCGTCCACTCATGAATCTAGAAGAGATGATGCATTAGGAAAGACGCAACAGAACAATACAGAGAGAGACAAGAATGTCAAAGAGGAAGCACAAGAGCTAGAAAAGAGTTCCCTTGAGCCAGTTTCAGTTAGCAAGCAAGGTCTTAAGGTGATGGATGGACACACAAGGAAGGATCATATGGCTCCTGCGGTCGGGGATTCCAAGGAAGGTGGATATATTCAAAGATTAAAGAGACTATGGTTTGGTTCGTCTGAGTCGGAATCATCACATCCTATAGATAATAAACATGTTTCTGCAAATGGGCTCGAGGGAAAAGGGGTTATTGATAAGGAACCAAAACCGTCCACTCAGGAATCTGATCCTATGACTCAAAGTTCACCCTCCACCTCTTTTGAATCTACCGAGGAGGGGAAAGCAAGTGCATTAGCAGGAAATGAGAAATCCATGAGTCCAGGTTTATTTATCCGAATTCGGAAGTGGTTAAAGTCCTGGGGAGGGAATACAACCGCCACAGAGCTTAACCATGAAGCAAGAGGAACTCAAGAGCTAGTGGATGCCAAGTCTCAAGCCAGCAGCATTTTTGCGAAAGATTCTTTCTGGAGTGATATGGAATCCTTCATCAATTCCCCAAGAGGATTCACCATTGTTACTCATTCAAGGACAAGGTGTGAACTACTTACTTTTACTACTGTCTACTTGTGAAGTTAATAATAATTCTGTAAGACCGCATAGATTGTTCTTTGTAGTCCTGATATGGTAAGGCCCAGACTTCTGCCTGACAGTTCCCATTAGCCATTTTCACCTGCCAAAGAAATATATTCATCAAATTTGAATTTATGTTTGTATCTGTCAGGGAATCAATGGCTAGGCATCTGCAGAAGGAAGGACCTTCATATCTCAAACTTCTCAGAGAACCCGATATGTTTCATTTAGTTGATCTGCTAATATCAGAGAAGAAATGGATCGAACAGAACCCCTCACTCTCCTTACCTTTCAGAGTTACCCGGGTCACCGAGAAAGATTCTAGCCTTAGCCATGCTAATGTTGCAAATGGGTTGAGATCGATATTCATGGATTCTTCGAAATCCAAGAACGTCGCTCATGCTGGGGTTTCTGTTGCAACAACTGCGGACCAGAAACTGCCTGAAAGATCCAGAAGTGATGTATTATCGGATTGTCAGAAGTTGGTGAAGAAGACAATACAGGAAAACCCCGGAGGCTATAACATTGGCTGCTTCAGAAAAGACTTCCTGGAGGAATTCGGGTACCATTTAGACGTTCAGAGTCTTGGTTACCAGAAACTGCAGTCTCTGATCGAAATAACGTGCGGAGCAAGAATCGAATCAGGATTCATCGTTCCTCTAACCACTGCACGTAATGCCAGAGTATCGGGGAAATGTAGGGAAGATGATGACTCGGATTCAGGATTTGATGAGCTTGGCCCAGTTTCAGGTGCTGCAGATAAAGAGGCCACAGCCAGAAAGCTGCCTGAGTACGAGCCTTGTCTTTCGGAAGACGAGGATTCTGATTTAGAGACAGAAGCTCCTGCCCTGAGAGAGAGAGACAGGGAGAAGAAGCAAGGCATGGGTGGAGAAGAGAGAGATAGTTCTTTAATCCAAATCCTGGATTCATGGTACAGCAGCAAAGAAAGCGATGGTGATAAACAGGAAAAGCCCGGAGAAGACGCGGAGAAGACGAAGGTTGTCCGATTTCATGGCGGAAGCAATGGTAAGAAGCAGAAGCCTCCAAAGGCGTATACTTTTGTTGCAGATTCCGACGGACAAATAGCGACAAAGGAAAGCTAATAAGATGGAATATGAGGATTCATCATTCATGGATTGATTTTTTTGTAGTTAGTTTATGCTTCTCCAGCTGATTTGTTGAAGCTGATATGGGTTTAGTCTATTGTTAAACCGGGCAGGCGGTCTGGTCCGGTTTATTGGTAACATTTTTATTTTCTACTCTCTTTTCACGTCTTTGTGTAAAAGCCATGTAGGTGCCCATGATCATATAAGAAGGTATCTATTAAGTCACGTGCATTTTTTATTATTAAAAGACGAGGACATAAACATGTACATGAAGAGAAGAATAATTTATATAGTTTTTCCAAATATATATTCAATTTAAAATTAAGTAAACAACAATAGTAAAGAAAATCACCTTAATTCGATCATCATGGGAAGAAATGTCACGCTTTTGGCGTTTAATTTCTTTTAAAAAAATATTCGTATTTGTTTCCTTTTTTATTATCTGGTCAGCAGAAAATATTCAAATAATATCTTACTTTATGCTCACAATTATACCATGGGCTACCGGCTACCCCACTTTTATGGTATTTTTCAAATATATTTTTCAAAACCTATTTTTGATAATTCACAGCCGTAGGGGTAAATATGCTCTTTCTCCCCCATAATTCAACCAAGAGGAAAGGAACATTTTTTTTTTGTCATGCAAGCCTGAAACATCCTATTTCACAAAAAAAAAAAAAAAAAAACAAAACAAAACAAAACAAAGCTCTGTTCGTTGCTTTTGATCTGTATCTTTACTAAAAAAAAAACTTCTGTTGTCTCCCTCGGACCCAACCTTGTTCCTAATCAAACGTTAAAAGTGTCTGCCATGGGAACTGCCACCTTTCTTGGGGAAGAAGGCTCTCTTAGGTTTTGGAATCTCATGAATGTCCATCACCTGTATAGTTCTCTGCTTTTTCACTGCAGACAATGAGGAAAGAGACGACAACAACAGGAAGACAGTTCTTTACATAAGACGATTCCCATGGAAACGGTCAAGCAAGTAAAGAGATGGGTTCGAACCATTCTCAGCTTCTCTGTAGTTCTGTTGAAGCCTTTTCCGGGCTGAGTCGAAGTCGTTGAGTTCCCACGGCTCTTTCTCCCTCTGCTTTTGTCCAGACCAAACCAACCCACGATTAGTTAGTTAAACCCGGTTCTCGATTCAGACAGAGACAGTTAAATACGAGATGGGCTTATGCCGTTGTCATGTACATCCACAGCTGAGAACCCGCTTTCTTTTTGTTCTTGATGATTCGGACATAAACTGTTTCGAGACCTGAGTGAGTCGGTATGTACCTGCCCAGTTTGCGGAGCCGGAGAAGGCCGAGCAGGTCTGGCTGGAGGAGGTGCAGCCGGTCTTGGTTTTCTTTCTGGTTCGGTGTTGCTAATTTTCTTGCTTGGACCAGAATACTCATCTGCCAAAATCGGGAAAGCAAAAGAATATGACCAGTGGCTTAGACAAAGTGCTTTCTCAAGAGAACCAAGAACAGAATGGAAACCTAACCTTTGAATCCGGTCCTATACTCACTGTGTGGCACGGGAGAGTACCCGAAATCCAGAACCTGCCAAGAAAGAAAAATAGAAAATTCAGAAAGAAACATAGAGACAGAACCGAATGTATTGACGGATATTTTCCAGGAAAAGAAACAAGAAGAGGAAGAAACGTTCGGTTTTACCTGTTGCCGGTCACCATTCTGGGGAGCTTTCTGCTGAGGTGAGTCCCCATCGGCTACCAATAGTTGCAGCGAAAGATTAATCCGAGAAATTTTCTCGGGAAAATATGACTGGATGTTTTTTTTGTTAAAGAAATATGACTGGATGTCCTATCAGGGCTTAGAATTCTTTCTACCTATCAAGTTAGATGGCTCGAGATCGCCAGGCTGCTTATGTTTCACCCACTCGTCAACTGTTTCCATCCATTTTCTGCAAAAACCGAGTATTTGGACTCAAGAAACTGAAAATAACGGTTCGAATTAGCACAAAACTACTATGACTTGGGAATGATCTGATACTTGAGAAGCTGTCTGGCTAATCTCCGGACATTGTTGGACGAATGCTTCCGAACCCGGTTCACATGCCTCCCGATATCAGTTTCCTGATGAAAACCAGAACCATGATCATGATTTCACCGGAAAATTTCAAACTATGATCAATCAGCTCTTAGAATTCATGAATTGAAGAGCTTTACAGGGTTCGAATTCAACAGATGAATGGTTGCTTCTTCAAACAAACAAGTGGGCTAGTTTACCTGAAGAGCTTGGACTGTTATGTCCATATCTGCCAAACTCTGAAGCAACTCAACCAGAGATTCTTCAGACTGAAATGCAGGAGAAAGTTCAGTCTCGGCATAAAAACCAAACATGGAAAACAGAATCTGAAACTAAACCCAAACTGAACAGAGCTATAACCAGATCGGGATCGTTTAGCTTCTCCTTGATTTCCAGAATCATCTTCTGTTCGTCGTCGAACAAACCCGCGTAAGGATCGAAACCGTCATCATTGTCTCCATTGCCAGATTTCTCTACCTCTCCTCTGTTGTTTTCGTCATGTTCCTTCCCTTCTTCCTCTTCATCAACCCTAACTTCGCCGCCGCCGCCGCCGCCGCAGAACTCGCAGTTTCTGCATCTGTTGACCATCGACGTGGCGTAGAGACGCTCGACGATGTTGTCTCTCCGACATTTCAGCTCATGTCCGTAATCCAGCGAAGCCACCAGGATCGCTGTGTCGATGAATGCCCACACATCTACACCGGCTGTGCCCAGAATCGATCGAAAATCGTCCAAATCCATGTCGCCGGAAGTTTTTTTTGTGTCTCTTTTTTCTGGATTTGGCAACTTTCGGAATCAAACGAATCACGACCCTTGTATTACATCACCGGATCTAAGAAGAGTCCATGCAATGAATAGGATACATCGGAGAAGCGACAGAGATCGAAACAGAACGAATCCGACCACAAAGCTCAGATTTTTACGTGAAAAAGGACAGCCAATCGGAAACCCAGATCGATAAATCAAGCCAATTCCAAAAGAAAACAAAAAAAAAAAAGGGAAAACAACGTATTTCTGAACCTTGATGACGCTACGCTAACAAGAAGATGAAATCAGCAATTGGGTTTATTGTTCTTGGCTCTTTTCCATTTGGGTCAGAGAAATGAAGAAGGGGGAAACTGAGGAATCTGAAGGGGAAAGAGATGAGAAGGGTATATTCCGAATTCGAAGGCTTTAGAATTTCTACGGGTATTGCTTTCTGCTCATTCTTCCTCTGCCGATTTACCCATAAACATTCTCCGACAGAAAAGAAAAACGCTTATGGGTGAGGGTTTTTTTCTGACATACGAAGAAACCAGAAAGGGGGTTTGTCTTGTGGATGCTCTTCCGCAAGAAAGCACAAAGCTGGTTTGGTTCGTTGTGGTTGGGGAGATGCCGAGAGTGAGAGAGAGAGAGAGAGAGGGAGAAGTGTGAAGTGTTCAATAATGGCGTTTACTTTTTGATTTTCAGAATGAAATGGAAAGGGTAACTGGATTTTGTCCGAGCTTTAGAATCGAGGAAATGGGAAAAAAATATATACTATATTAACATTATTGGTTATTATTTTAGGAATGTTTTTTATTATTACTGTGATTAGGGTTACGGTATTAGGGGTTTGTTCATATCCACGTTTACATATAATTAATAGACCTGACCACCTTCAATTAAAATATATATATGAACGAAAAATCTTCCTCTGCATCGTGAACGAAAAAATACATTAGAATTCTTATGCATAATCTAATTTCATATTTATATTCTTTAGTACGTTAAAATTCTTGTCATGAATATAACGTAAATCCATATTTATTTCATTAATGAGCATGAGCATTTTAGTTTAAATACTTATCTTGAATTTTGATCCATTTAAAAATCCAAATCAAGCAGTTAGTTCGATTGAATTTCTGTCGTCCCTCTATATAGATAATCTTTTAAACAGTTTTGCTAAAATTCATCTACTCGACTATTATAAATATATATCATATTCGACTCTTACGATATAGTTGGTTCGAAAGTATAGTAAATTTTCGGATTATAAAAAAAAATATAACACATTTTCGAGAATATTAAAGATTGCCATACAAAAAGAACAAGAGAATATATCACGATAAACACTAAGGAGATTTTATCTTAATTAAATCGGATTATTTGTTATGGTAATATTAGGACCCTGTTAGGTTAGATTACGTTTTTGTATAAGGACATTGGTACACCGGATTTTTGGTGTGGGATCCATTAAAACTGTCGGTTTCATATAATGGAGAACTAAAACTAAATATATAAACCATATTGGAACAAGAAAAATGTTGCACCAACGTTAAATTTATTTGCGACGATCCACAATAAAATTCTCGGTTTCTTATGTAACTGGGAACTAAAACTAGGTAGATATAATCATATAAACCATATTAAACATAAGAAAAATGTTGTACCAACGTTATATTTATTTGCGACGAGCCAAAATTGACCGGTGGATCGATACATGCAGGAGAACTATATGCACAGTGCATGTTTTATGTGGGCCGAAATTGGAGCATAACGTGGTTGGTACATCTGAACACGAGAACCAACATACAAAACCTTACAACACCGCACGTGTTTCACTAGCTTCGATCTTGGGTTCATATTAAACCAATATATATATATATATATATATATATATATATATATATATATATATATAATTCACCGGATCTTTAATCCGACTACATTTTACAAAGAATCGGAGAAATCTATCTAAATATCCCTCCCTAATTGAGGATTCGAACCAAAACTATTCAATCCTAGGTAAATCTTAACAATTTTTTTTTTGGTTTAAAGGTAAACCTTAACATATATATAGATATATGTATGTATATGTATATATATATAAATATATATATTGCCTTCAATTATCAAAATGAACTATGATAAACTATAGTATTGTGCGTACAAAAATATCGAAGTATAGTTATGTCCGTCCATGCATTTTAATAGTGTAATCATATAAATTAATATACTCAAATTTTAAATTAAAACGGGAAAACAAATTCGTTATGAGGTATATTAATTTGAAGATTAGCCCTACATGGTTAATTATTTGACAGGTCCATTAAGAACTGCACAAGTGACATAATAACATTCAATATTCGTATATTTCTGTAATATAATTTTAGACTGTCTCAATCTCTCTTTTTATTTTTATTTTTATTTTTTTTACGTTTTGGTATATTTGATATATTAAGGACACATTTCGAAGGTGTTTGCAAATCAATGGCGATGTCACTCACTTGGTATTACCACGTGTCACGAAAATCTCGTAGTCATACGTTCAACACCAACGTCCTTGCCTATTATTATCCAAAATCTTATATATACACACATACATATATATATATACATATATGATTGTGTGGTCCATGTAATGTCTTTCGATTATTGAACCCTCTCTTTACAAGAGAAATCGATATGGGCCGATAGAAGAAGTTTTAATTAAGCAAATGGGCCTGTTCAAAAATTAACTTGACCCAATGAAGCCCATTCCATGGTGTTATGTTTCAAAGTCCAAAAACGGAGAAGCTCAAGCCCATCATTCATGTTGAAAATATTATATTTTTCTTTTCTTTTCCTCGATTAATTAAGATTTTACTTCCATTAAATATAAAGAAAATGATGTTTTATTAATTTAACACTACTACGAGCGTATCAAACCATTGCAAACCCAAATCTCACAAGCTTCACGATATTAACTAACCAAATAATTCGTTATCTACATATAATCATATCAAATTTAAAACGATAATAATAATAATAATAATGATAATGATAATAATAACAACAACAACAATAATAATAATAATAATAATAATTGAGCAACAGGACCGATCTTAGCATGTGTTCTATACTCTTAATCCCTATTTGTTTATTTCATCTCCGTTGCCCGTAGAATCGTCCACGGCTCATTGTTTTATACACCATATATAAATCCTAAACATATTACATATATATATATATATGCAACCAATCAAACTATTTATATGTTTATTCCCCACTTTTTTTTTTTGTCAAAACGCAGACAGTATTACGGATATAATATGCGGGCCTATAACAAGAAGAAGGCCTGGTGCGAAGCCCATGAGAAGCCCATCTGATTAATATGAGTAACAGATTGGCTTGGGAAGGAGAGAACGGCGAGAGGTGAAGAAGGAAATCTGTTCGAACAGATTTCTCCATGCTTTTTCATTCTTTGTAAATTTGTTAGAAATCTGTTACAAATTTGTTATTCTTTCGGTGTATAAAACCCATGTATAGATTCATTTTATAAAATAGTGAGAAAATTTTATTCCACTGAAATGGTATCAGAGCTTTTCCTCTGATTTCCTCTTTTCCGATCAGTTTCCGGTCAGTTTTCAGATCTCTTCTTTCTTTCTTTTTTGTTCATGGCGGACGATCTCCCTGCGCCCGTTCCTCCGGCCGTTTTGGCTGCCCCGGTTCCGTTCACACCGGCGTTTGATAGTCCATACTATCTTTCCAGCTCCGATAATGGTGGCGTGGCTTTAGTCACAAAACCTTTAACCGGTGCTGCTGATTTTCCCTCATGGATTCGGTCATTTCGCATGGCCCTTGAAGGTCGGAACAAGGTCGGCTTCGTCGACGGTTCTCTGCTTGAACCTGCTGAAGATGATCCTCTTCACCGCTTTTGGGTTCGCAACAATGCTGTCGTGGCTGGTTGGATAATGAATTCTGTGGCAGAACACATTGCTCAGAGTCTCCTTTATATCGAGACTGCTCAGGATATGTGGTTGTTCCTTATCAAAAGTTACCAACAGAGCAATGCTCCGCGCAAGTACCGCATCAGACAGAAATTACGAACTCTTCGCCAAGGTTCGTTGGATGTTGCTTCTTATTACGCTGCCATATTTGCTGTTTGGAAAGAATTTAAATCGGTCCGTGCTAACCATGCCTCCACCTGTGGCCGGTGTACTTGCTCTCTTTCCAAGCGATGGAATGATGAGGACGAAAGTGACTTCATCATTGATTTTCTTTTCGGCCTCACTGATGATTTTGAGAATGTTCGTGGTCGCATTCTCGCCATGGACCCTCCTCCGGATGCCCAGACCGCTTACAATCTCGTTATTCAGCAAGAGCAACAGCACCTGATCAAATCTTCCCAGCCTTCTGATGCTGTCGTCTTCCAAGCTACTGCTCCGCCTCCACAGGAGGCTGTCTCTGCGGTCTCTACTACATCTTTTAAGAACAAGCAACGTCCTCTCTGTTCCCATTGCGGGCTTTATGGTCATACTGTGCAGCGCTGCTACAAGCTCCATGGCTATCCGCCTGGTTACCGAGCACCAAGGTCTAGCGGTTCAACTACTCCTCGGACTTCTCCTCGTCAGCCACAGTCTAAACAGCCGACGCATTTTGCTAACCTGGCCACAGAATCTGCTCCTCTGGTATGTTCTGATGTGGATAAAATGTCCTTTGCTCAGATTCAGAATCTTTGCTCGAAAATCACCAATCGGCTCAAAGTTTCTGGTGCATCTGTTACTGAGCAAGGTGCTCCTGATATTGATGCTGGTACGCCCTTGTTCCTTTCTGCTTTCGTTTGTCATGCCGCTTCTGTTACAGGAGACTTTCGGAATTCCTGGATTCTGGACTCGGGTGCGTCTGCTCATGTTTGTTTTAACAAACATCTTTTTTCTGAAATGACGAGCATTCTTCCTAGTACAGTCACGTTACCCACTGGCTTGCAGATTTCGGTAACTCAGGCTGGCAGTGTACCACTGAATGATCATCTAACTTTGTCAAACGTGCTTTATGTCCCGTCCTTTACCTTCAATATCATCAGTATCAGTTCCTTGCTTCGTAGGACTGATCTCTCTTGTTTCTTTTCTTCTGGTTCTTGTTTTATTCAGGAACTTTCTCGGGGATCGACGATTGGGAGGGCTAGACTTTTACATAATCTTTATTTTCTTGAGTCTGATTTCCAGCCTGTTATACGTTCTTGTGCTTCTGTGAACTCAGTTATTGTTGATCCTTCGCTTTGGCACTCTCGTCTTGGGCACTTATCTTATCAGAAGCTTCAATCAATGACAACTTCTCTTTCACTTTCATCGTTTAAGGCTCCTTCTCATTGTCGTGTTTGCCACTTATCTAAACAACGTCGTCTCCCTTTTGTTTCTAATAATCATTTCTCTAAATTCTCTTTTGATCTCATTCATGTTGACATATGGGGTCCCTTTTCTGTTGTTTCCCATGACGGATATAAATACTTTTTGACAATAGTTGATGATCATTCAAGGGTAACTTGGGTATACATGCTTCGAAGGAAGAGTGAGGTTTTGGATGTCTTTCCGCAATTTTTGGAGCTGATCGAAACACAGTTTTCGCAGAAAGTAAAAGCCGTTCGATCCGACAATGCACCGGAATTGTCGTTTGAATCGTTGTTTCACTCGAAAGGCATTGTCCACTATTTCTCTTGTGTGCAGACCCCTCAGCAAA